CTAGAAGACCTGACAGAGCTAAGTAGTCAAAATAAGGTGACCTTAGCCTGGGTTCCAGGCCATGAGGGATATCAGGGCAACGAAAAGGCCGACGAATTAGCCCGAGAAGGCTCAGATAAGGCCATGACAGGCCCTGAACCCTTTTGTGGAGTCGCTAAGGCACTGTGCAAGGCATCCATTAAACAATGGATGCAAAAAGAGTCTCAGGAATGGTGGAACAACTATCCAAGACTGAGACAGGCCAAACAGTTCATCAAGGAACCATCGGCCAAGTTTACGAAAGACCTACTGGATCAAAAACGTCAAATCGTTAGGATAACAGTAGGCCTTCTTACTGGACACTGTCGCCTCAAAAGGCACATGAGTGTCATAAATCCAGCAGAAGAAGCAACTTTGTGCAGGTTCTGTGAAGAAGAAGAGGAAACATCATTCCACGTCCTGTGCCAATGTGAAGGCTTGGCTGGAATGAGGTTTCTAACATTGGGCGAAGAAAAGCCAATTGCATGCAACTACATGCGGGAGCCACTGTCAAAGCTACTAAGTCTAATAAAAAAGACCAGGCTAGACGACATACTCTAAAACAAACGGAGTCCCACAATAGATCTGAAAAGGTCGCGGTGGACAAGGACAAATAACGTCCAACTCCTAATCTAATCTAATCTAATCTAACCACCAAATATGCGGACTTATATCACAGATATTATGTACACAGAACAACAAATGCATGGGAATGGCATTCTGATTTTAATCCAACTTCTATAATTCTCAACCGAGTTTATACCATTTTGTACATATTTTATTAAATTGTCAAGCTCAATCATATGTTAAAATTAACCCAACAAACTGTTTACAAAAAATTTAAAAAGTACCACAATAAAACAAATAATTTTATAAAATTTAAAATTTTAGATTATAGGAACAATATTTGATCTAAATATGTTTTTGTAAAAGTTATGCATTTTCAGTATTTATCATTCTAATGAATATCTAAAATCTTACAAATATTTTTATTCCTAGAAATATTTCTTAGCATTTTAATCCCTTTGAAGCGCGATTATGCCGTAATTGAAAGGGTACTTATAGCAGGTACCAGCCTTGTGACGGAAGTGATCGCCCCGAGATTGTTAAATTATTTTTTAATAATCGATTATTTGCAAGTGGTCATTTATTTTTACTAGGGATTATAAAATTTAGATAGGTACTTATTATTTCATTTATTCGGCGTTGTGACATTATTATATTTCTTGGAATTTATTATTTGCAGAATTAAGGCAGGTAAGCAAAGGCGCTTATAAATAGACTACGGAATTTAAAGTTAATTTATTGTGCTCTAATTCTTGAACAAGGTAAGTTGAATTTTTGTAATAAACGAAATGGAGTTTTCGTCTAGTCAAAAAGTCAAGCGAGTTCTTATTTACAATGGTTTTGAATATATACATTTTCGCACAACAAATGGGATAGATACATGGAGGTGCCGTGAAAATCGACAAACTAAGTGCCATTCCTTAATAAAAACGAAGGACAAGGACATTGTACAAGATCCAGGCAGTCATTTTTATGATTCATGTCCCCAAAAAGCAGAAGCAAATATCGGCAGAAGCCAAATGCGAGAAGCCATGACAGCGGTGAATGCTACATCTCGCAATGTTATTGGAGATAAATTATCAGGAGTAAGCAATGATGTACTTGCTTATATTCCAAAACAATCGTCTCTTGCCAGAATACTTCGAAATTATCGAGCAGAGAAGCACTTGCCAAATCCATCTATGATGCATTTTGCATGCATGACTCTGGAGTCGAAGATCCAAACAGAATTTTAATTTTGGGAGATCGCGAGTTATTGTGCGAATTAAACTAAGCCACTCTATTCGGCGACGGAAGATTTGATAAAGCACCAACGATGTTTTATCAACTTTATACTTTGCATGCCATAGTAGGAAATTCGTATCCACCATGTGTGTACATATTGTTACAAACTAACAATTAAGCAACATACCTACAGATGTTTCAAATTGTAAAAAGGTTAGTTCCAAGCATGGCGCCCCAGAAGATACTTTTAGATTTCGAGAAAGCCTGCATGAATGCTGCAGAGCGAACTTTTCCAGAAGCCGAATTTAAGGGATGTTATTTCCATTTGTGTCAAAGCCTTATAAGAAAAGTTAATGCAGTTGGTTTAAAATCGGAATTCGAATCGAACATCGACACAAAATTAAAACTAAAATCCTTGGCAGCATTATCGTTTGTGCCGTTAGAAGATGTACGAGATAATTTTAATAGCCTTGCAGAAACTTTTCCTGATGAAGAGATATTTAACGACGTCCTTACATATTTTTTTTCAACTTATATACAAGGTGCCGCCGGAAGAAGTCCACAATTCCATCCGAGAATATGGAACCATTACGATGCCGCTCTTGATGAAACGCCAAGAACGACCAATTGTTGTGAAGGGTTTCACAATGCCCTTAATTCCATATTTCATTGCAGTCATCCGAGCATATGGATGCTTTTCGATGGATTGAGAAGAGATTCAGCATGCCACAAACTTACATTGGTGAACTCTCAAGCTAACAGACTGGAGCCCACCAAAAAGAAATACAGACAACTGTACGCGCTTGTAGCCAGTTCTGTAGAAAAGTGTCAAGAAACAGATAACAAAGTATCTTACTTAAGGAGAATAGCCAACTTACAGTAGTACGTCTATTAAAGTGCGTTTATCTTTTGTTACATTATTCATTTTTTCGTTTTTAATGTATTAATATGGAATAAAAATATATTACACTAAAAACCTATATGCATTTTACGTTTGTACCTACATTGTTATATAAAAAAAATATAAACACAAATCCATGAATATATTAGTACAAATAGTTAGCGATTATAAAATTAAAATAAAATCAACATGGAATTGCAAAAATATTTAGGTTTTAAAGATAAAATATGTACCTATAAAACTCGCCATTTTACAAAAAATGCAAAATCATTACAACCGGAATTTCATAAATATAATTATTACAAATCGTTAACGATTATAACATTATAAATGAAAGCAATGATCAAACATCAATAGAACTCCAAAAATATTTCGAACCGAAAACCATTTCTATTTATCAATAAAAAATATAGTACACTTGTCTGAATTTTAAAATTAGCGCGAAACAAAAATAAAACCAGTCTTCAGTAACTTACTAGTAACTTACTTATAAACGTAACTTATTATAAAATATTATGAAATAAAGTTATTATGACAGAATTCCAAAAACCTAACGTTATTCTACGAAGATTCTTAAATTTTGAAAATTTTTAGTTTAATTCAGGTTAAGGTCTATAATAAATAGATATTAATGATATAATCCCTAATTACCTTACAATATTCAAAGAAGATTGTTAAATTTGCAAAACTTTTGTCTAATTAATGTAACGGTCTATAATAAATAGATATTAATGATATAATCCATGAGTACCTTACATTATTCTAAGGAGATTTTAAATGTTAAAATATTAGGCACAGTTTGTGTTTAATTCGTGTCTTTATTTAAAACGGTTCGACTATCAATTCTTGTAAATACCGTTTAGTGACCCTTTAATTATTTTCGAAAAATTTCGTAAATTTCGCCAACTTAAATGGGAAAAATGAGCTGCCAAACTGTTTAACATCCATGCATATGCAAATGAAATGTCTGTTTCCGTTGGCTTATGCTTGTTAAAAGACGAAAGTATACAAGTTACTTGAAACTGCAATGTGGCAACTAATAAAGAAAGAGATTGACGGCATGGGATTTATCCTGAATTAAAAATTATTAAGAAAAAAGAAGCTAACACACTGTTAGGTTAGGTTATGAAACGAGCGACTTGCGACTTTACATACACATACTCAAAAAAAATGTTTTCTCATTCTTAGTAAATTAGAATTTGGGACCCTACACAACAAAATTTAAAAAAAAAAAACTTTGGAAACTATTCAAAATGAATTTATAAAATATTTATACTTCAAAAAATTATCGTCCAGAGTTTACCTATTAGAAAATAGTTTAAAATTGAAAAAATTGGAACATAGGTGCTCTACAATCAACCTTTACATAAATTGTTAAATAACGTTAAATTGTTAAATAAAGCGTTCTTTCAGCTTCATAGCAATGAAGGTCCCTAAAAAATGTTTTCAGATCGCCACGGGTTTCTTCAATTACATGTTATCAAAATGTTTGTGGTTTAAGAACTAAAAGATCTTTAAAACTTTTGAAGTTATATTTATATAATCGTTACCTTTATGTTTAATGTTTCGGATATAAATCCTTGAAGTACATTCAGACTTCCGGCGTTCTTCAAGGCTCCGTTTTGGGACCATTACTATTTTTATTGTTTAATAATGATATTGCTGGTGATCTTATCGTCCTACATCTTTTATAAGCAGACGATCTCAAAATTTATTCTGAAATTAAAAATTTTACCGATTGTCAAAAATTGCAGCAAAAAAGTTTAGTCAGAAAGACCCTGTGACAGTATACAACTGTTTATTACAAAATACCACATTAGGTAGACCCGAATTGATTAAAGATTTTGGAGTCTATTTTGATAGTAAATTGAGTTTTTCTTCACACATTGAAAAGACGACCGCTTCCGCATATCGAATCCTACGATTTATTGAAATATAAGATCTTTTAGTAATTTTTGTATCATGAATATGCTTCAGTCTTCCCTATTCATGCCACAATTAGAATATGCTTGTATAATTTGGATATAACATTCAGTCTGTCCCCATTTTTTCGATCTCTTATTTTACCACAATTTTACTGTAGTAGCAGTATGTGTACCGCTCTAAATAAAGTGCGACTTCATGGTAATTTCTGATAAAAAAACTTAATCGTTTTTTGCAAGTGGGTATTTTGAAACTACGAGGAAGAGTTGAATGAGGCCACTAAGTACTTTCGTCACTTATTCCTAAGAATAACACCCTCTATATTTGTTATATTTTTAACAGCATAAAATCATTTATTTTATTTCAGGATCAGTACTTGGAAGTGTTCTTAGCAGACGTCACAGAAAGTCAAAATGTATTTTATATCAACAATGTCCTGGTTGAAAAAGGGTTTGCTATCTTTCCTGACCAAGTAAGTGTGAATGGCGTGAAGAAACCTATCGTCAATAAAAAACAAGCATTGTTGAATATTATTGCAAGAAACAAAACTAAACAAATTGAAAATTGATATAGAAAGTTAGATAACATTCTTATATGTTACACTTTATTTTTGTGATATAGAAATTTCTTTTTTTTTTATAGAATCAACAAAATTATGATTTTTGCATGATTTCATTTTTTTATTATAGAATTCTTATCAAGGTATTAATAATTTAATATTATAATTAAATGTTATATTTGTATATTATGACTTAGTGTAGTTTGTTTTAAAGGATTTATAACTGAATTTTGAATAAATATATAAAAAAAACCTATGTCTCCATAACCATGTGAGAGGTACAAATCTATGCCTAGATAAAATATTTTTAAGATATATTTCTTACTGCTTAGTGCACTGTTTTGATATTCGAACCTTTAAAACAAATTCTTAAAAAAATACTAAGGTGTGGATTTTTTTGGTGAATAATTCAAACTTGTTTTTAATGTTACAGCAATATAATTTTATATATTTTATTGTGTAGAATTTTATCTAATATATAGTTTGAGGTGGCACAAAATTGATCAAAAACATTTGTTTGAATTGGAAATTTGATCGAAAATACACTTTATAATATTTTATCGAAAAGACAATAGATCTAAAATTCATTAGATCGAAAAATCAACGACTCTGTCACGAAATAGCCCCATAAAAATAGCGCTTATTAAAATAGCATCAGTGAAAACAGCGCCCTATCAAAATTTGGAGCCATTATCGCGGATTGCTTCGCAAAAAAAAAATAAATAAAATGCGAGAAATTAAAAAAAAAATACTTAACTAATTTACCTAACCTAGGAGTCATCGCGGATCGCTTCGTATAAATAATTATACAAAAAAATGAGAAAAATAAAAAACTTGTCTGTTGGCGCGATAGCTCAAGAACGACTTTATATAAAAACTTCAAATTTTGTATACGGATAAGGTTCCTTTCTGGCTCAAAACCAGTTATACTTTCAGTCAGTTATATACAGGGTGAGCAGTATTAAAAAAATAATTTATTTTTAAAGGTCAAATTTTAGAAGTCAAAGATAACAGATCCCAAATAAGTTTTAAAAAAAATCAAAATGGCGTTGAAAGGAATCGTATATAATCAAAAAGGGTCTCCATTGAATGTAAATAATTAAAAGCGTCCTTTTGGTTTGTGAAACTGAACTACTTTAAAAGCAGCCAATCATTATCGTTCAATAACGGCGAAAAAGGGTTTTCTGGATTTTCCTCTTGATCCGTCCCGAACTCTCTTCGTGTCCGCTTGGTGTTCTTCGTCACGTTCTTTACAATTTCTATTTTGAGGAAAGTTCTGGGTAAAATACTTAACCGATTTTTTAAAAATTTTTGCGAAGCAACCGGTGATGGCTCTAGGCCGCATAGGTTAGGTATTTAGATTGATTTTTTTAAATTTTTTTAATTTTATGTGTATTTGGTTTTTCGTTCAATTGCATTCATTTAAATGTTCTCGATTAATTTTGTGGCACACATATTATTTTGAGGTAACTTAGAAAAAGAAGTATGTCATTGCTTTGCTGATGATAGATGAATAAATAGTTTTTATTTTTATTAATATAGACATTTCGAATAAAGTTAATTAAAAAAGATGCATACACATTAAAACTTGTCAAAATCAATTAAAAATATTTCATAAGATGGTCTTAATAAAAACAATACATAGCACATTAACTCTGAACAGAAGATTTTTTTTTATTAACGGGACACATTAAGTTGGAGGAAAACTTTTTTAATTTTAGTTCTAGGAAAAATGTATTTATTAAATTTCTGAACGGTCTAAAACCTACATTGAAACAATAGGTTTGTTCCAACATAAACCAAATTAGTTTGTGTACTGTCTGGATTCTGCGGAGTATAAAATTTGTGTTCCAACAAACTTCACAAATCGATTTGTGTTCTGTCAAATCAGTTCCTGGGTCTGAATAGGAATGAATTGCCAAAACATGCGCAAATCTGCAACAACCTGATAATTTCTTGATTCTATCGTCTCTGACAGCTCTGATTTGTATTTGTCAATCAATCGAGTTTAGTCTTAATAGTTTTTGTTCAGTATCATTTATTTTATTTTGTAGTTTATTATTGTATTTGTGTCTGTTGAATTTATTAAAAATGCGTTCTAACATAACCGAGTTCCGAGTTGAGTCCCAATCCCCGACAGGTTGTCAATTACTAATTGTCTATAGATTGTCAACAATAAGTTGTGGACTAGTTTATATATGGTTCAAAGATCTTTGTTGGAAAAAATCTACTCAAACCTCAAAATGTATCAGTCATATATGGGATTTATCAATACTTTCATTTTTGACTATCAAAAATTGTAATTATGAAAAGTTGTTCAGATTTAAAAACAACACGTTCAGTTATGCAAATTGTATCAATTTACATTAAAAAACGAGTTTTTCCTTCTCTACACTTTGTTGAAATTTAAGTGGAAAAAAATATCTTAACAAGCTTTGTTTGACACATATTTATATCATTTGACGGTCGTTTGCCATATTGCATTTTTTTTGACAGGGCGTTGGATTGTCTAATAATGTCTGTTTTTCAAACGCTTTCATACATTCTCTAATGGATTTCAGATTTGTTAGATCTCGTGTTATATGAGTACTTCAATTTTCTAACGAATATGTTTCAAAGAGAAGCGACGTACGTAAAAGAATAAAACAAAAGGTTGGAGGTTAGAAAGTGTCTCGTTGAGATTGAGTTGTGTGGAAAGGCTAGCATTGTATGCCACTGTTGTGATTGGACTAATTAAAAGATCGTATCTTTTGACACTGTCTTGTTATTGGTTTTTGAGAACGTGATGAGAGAGGTTGCCATATTAGTGTGGACAGAGATAGGGTGAATGTTGTAACTATTAAATAAAAGTATAGTAAGTGTAGTATTTGTGTCGATTCTGTTTGCACTAGCAACATAACATGACTATGGGGCTAATTCCAAAAGATATTGCTACAATAGCTTATTTGAAAAAAACCGTATTCTCGTCAATTTTCAACAATATGATCTTTCGTTTATTAATATATTTTGCATATATGGCACTTCTGTCGGCATTCTTCAAACATTTTTGGCATTAAATTACTGTCTATTACTTCGGTATTCAACATGTACATATTTTTAGTGAATGTATCTACTACATTAGAGAAAGCAAGGCAATATAATTCCAATTTATCAGGAATTGGTTTAGATTTAATTAGGACTGTGAATAGGCCTTGTAGCCTTCCCCATCCTGTTACAGCACAGTGTCTAGTTTGGTATTTACTAGTAAACTAGCTCTCCTGTGTACCTAGTTACACTTAGTTCTTCTTTTCCAAGTGTAAGACATCTCAGTTTTGAAAGGCCTCCGTAGTAGCACAATAAGTTCTAGTTCACCGAAATTAGAAAAACATTCCCTGAAACGAAAATTTGTAGTACAGGATAAAGACCCAGATAATAATGAAGACTTCTTTTGACAAAATTTCATTATGCGCAGAGATGGGAGTGATCGGAAGATATATATACATTTTTCGGCGTTTTTTCCCCAGTTTTTAAAGTTGATGTGTTTTTATGAAAAATTTTACTGGACTTTTTTTGAGGAACAAACGATTTTCTATCGATTATGTCCCTATTCATTTTTGCCAAACATCATATTTTTGCCGCTAGAGCGCACCAAAACAAATGAAAATCATGCACTTTGCTGGAAAATTTCATCAGAGCAAAGTTGTACAGCTGAATATTTGGTCCTATCGCCATATTTTGGTCCAAATAACCTGCCCTTAGCCTATGTCCCAATAGTTATGAATCACCCTGTATATTTGTTTTTAACAATTTATTTTAAATATGCCAATACGAAAACGAATGAGAAGATTTACGCGTGGAAGAGAGTTGACACTTGTATTTAAATTACTCAAAATTTTCCATGAGTGAGGAAACTATATTTTGCTCGCGTAAATTCGCTGCAGGTGTACATAGAATGTTTTTGAAACTTGAAATTCGTTAAAATGCATTTTTGCATCTGCCAGGGTTGGCTTTGATTTGTGTGAGATTTTTAAATTCGGTAATGCAATGTACAGATCGAATAATAAAATATATTGTTGTTCTTATGTTTACTATACATTATTTATACGAGGTGGATCATAAAGAGAGTAACATTTTTGAACATAAATCATCGCCCATTTTTTTATAAAATACAAAAACTTACAAAGCTAAATTGACTCGAACAATAAACAATAAAAAAACAGTCCCGAAAAAAATGACAAATGAATCGAATGTTGTTTTTTTATTAGCATAAATCCTTCTATCGATAAACAATCTAGGACGTTATTTAACAAACATCAGTGATAAATTTCAGATTGAAAAAAAAAACTCACCTCCTATAATCAGCAAAATCAAGGGTTAGCTGTGTATTGAGATTGAAGTATGTGCTATCAGCCGATGAATAATCAAATGCGCATGTCAGTCTTAAGTGATTCCTGCTTAATCTTGTACTGAAATGATAATAGGACAACCAATTCGTGAACGTTAATGAGGTTAGTTGGAACGCTTTACTTGGATCATTCACTGAAAGGTTATTTGTTTGTAGGAACACTTTTAACCTACTGCACAAGACCATGACAGTACAACTTACGATTTTGAGTTGTGTTGGAACAAACCTATTACGTACGGAAGATAAAATTTAAATTGTATTAATTGTGGGTGAAAAGTATAAATCATTTCTGAGATAATTTTTTATGAATAATAATTTTTCCTAAAACCAAATGTAAAAAAGTTTTCGCCAACTTAAGTAGTATTTATACATTAACCGTTAATAGAGCCCATTAAGTTGATTCTAAATACACCATTTAGGTCGATGGATGTCTTGTTGATTTTGCCTACTTCTTAGGTAATAACTAACGAATTGACCTATATTCAGAAAATGCTCACAATTTCATTTAAGAGTTCAAAATTTGAGTAGTACACCATTTCCTTTAGTTTTTTCTCTTTTAAAATATATAAATCGTTAGTGACAATTGTAATATACATGCAAGAACCAACTTTTTTATTCATATCGTCGCCCTTCTCACGAAGTGGCATAAGTAGCAAATAGTAAATTTTGCAGGAGAGCAATAAAACAAAAATACGTAATTCTCAGGTTGACATAATATAGAGGGATTTAGAGTTTGCGCTTTCAAAATTTTATCATGGAATATTAAGGCCTTGTTTTATTGTTTGGTAATTCCAGATTAGCCAAACTCCCTACAGCATATTACTTCTGTGTCCTATCTGCAATAACGCAGAATATTTTCCTCACGAACAGTTCGTGAGGAAAATATTCTGCGTTATTGCAGATAGGACACGGAAGTAATATGATGTATTGCATGCACTATTAAGGTTGTAGATGTGCCACTTCGTGAGATGATAAAGTAGGTCAAGACTAGTTAATCCGCGCAAAAATTTTTTTTAAATTTTTGTTGGTTAGGTCACTTCGTAATAAGGGCGACGATATGGACCGCTATAAAGCATAACAGTTAGTTATGGTCTAGAAAACAAACGCAGAAAATCTAAAAAAAACATTGTATATTGGTGAAGAATGGTGCAAGACCTATTGAGTATCGAATATTTAGAAACTGCTTGCTGATCCCTATTCACAAGTAACGTATGTCTAGTTTCTCAGTCTATAATTTTTTTAAAATGATTTCTTGAGAAAGTAGTTTTTTAATTAAATTTCAAGAAATTGTCTATATTATCAAAGCTTTTGGTGCCAAATTGGACTCGGTGGCTTTTATTTTTATTATTTTAAAGTTTACTTATGTTTTTTTTTTGGGTTTTCCCCTTCATTTTCTATTACATTTTAATTATTATTCTATTTATGTTTAATATTTAAAATTATGTTAATTATTAACTTTTATGATTATTTTTTGTAGTAACATGAATTTCATTTGGAGGTTTTAATGTCAAAAGCTTTTTGTAGATTTTTTTCTTGATTCTAGGGTCGAACTTGGGAAATAACTAAAATGTAATAGAATGAAAAATTATCCATTTTTCTCAAATGTAGTCGTATATTTAATAAGAATAAAATACTCAAAATCAATTGCACAATATAAAAATACAACGGAGCAACTGGTTTCGGCCTATATGTTCATCATCAGGCCTGTAATACAAAATTGAGTCTTAGGAGAAGGTATACAATAGCATGGCATAATTCTTAAATAATAATGAAACATTTCATATTATGTATGTTATGTTGGGAATGGGGTGTTAATACACTGCGACCTAAAAGATCTTTTGTGTCCTCTTCTGTCGCTAATGCAACAAGGAAATGTTTCGATGTCTATAGTGGCTTCAAGTTTGGAAAATGTACCTCTTCTATTTAATATGCGCATAGATATAGTGCCTTTGTATTCTGGAGTGCTACACATTCAGTCAGAATGTGAATTGAGGTTTCATCCTCCTCCTCACAGAATTTGCGCTCACTATCTTCTAATGTTCTCAGTTTACTAAGGTGTCCGTTGAGTCGACAATGCCCACTAAGGATCCATGTTACAATGGGTAGCCTGTTCTTGCTCAGGCAGATACAGACCTCCGATCTTTTCTGATTATATTTACCCAGAAGTATCTTAGCCCCAAGAGATTGTTCCAATTATCGGTTCTTCTACTTCCCAATTCTTCTTTAATCTCCTAATATTGTGTTACTGCTGATACCGCAGAACTGCTCGGGTCCCACAAAGGGTATATGAGCTCCTTTCGCTGCGAGACTATCTGCAATTTTGTCACCCTTTTCTCCGTTATGTCCTGGTACTTAAGTGGGAGTAACTCTATTTTTCTCGCCTAGCTCATTCTATTTTCTAGGCATTTTTGAGCCGATTACGTAAGAGCTCGGTGCTTTGATGGCTGCTTGGCTATCGGACATGATAATATCTTGTCTACGATAGTTTCTATCGTTGTTAAACTGGATACGCTTCTCAATGGCGTGAATTTCCGCTTAGAAGGTGCTTGGGTATTTTCCCAAACGTTCAGAGTGCCTGGTTATAGGCCCATACATTCCTATTCCTTCTATGGTTTTGAAACCATCCGTATACGATTTAATAGCATTTTTTTTTGGGTTTCAAGCACGATGGATTCTTCTCTCCATTCTTTCTTGCAGTCCATCTCTGTGGTTTTGAAGTTTTTCACAAAAATGTACTTCTTTCTCATTTCATCCTGGGGAATATCCCAAGTATCTTCGGTCCTGAAGCTAATAGACTTTCGTCTGATTCTCCGTTATTGATCATTTTATATCGTGCCTTTTTTGCCACAATTGCTGCAGTAGGACAGGTTCTCATTACACCAATGATGCCAACACAGGCAAGTCTTTGTACTTTTGAGATATTAATTCTCATAGTAGCTAAACTGTTACTCCGGGCTATAGCCCTGTAAGTGATGATTGGTCTCACTATCGCTTTATACTTCCATCGCAGTATGTTCGGGTTGAATCCCCATCTTTTACCAGCATTGTACTGGTACTGCATACCATTAGAGTTTTTGTGGCCTTATTTTCTACCTCCTCATGTATGTCCAGGGTTAGGCCTAGATTTTTGACTTCTTTTTTTTTTCAATTCTTTATCTATCCTGTCTAATTTGACGGTTTCGAGATTGAGTTTTCTTTTCCTTGAAAAGGTTGCTAATGTTGTTTTCGTAGGGTTTATACTAAGTTCCACCGTACGGCACCATCTTTTGGTGTGTTCTAGTCCTCTTTGGACTATCACACAGGATATTTTCAAACTTTCCTCTGGCAGATATGACTATGTCGTCGACATAACCTTGACAAGATATGCCGAGGTCAATCAATCTGTATAGAAGTTCGTCTACGGTTAGGCTCCACATTAGCGAGGATAGAACTCCTCCTTGTGGATATTCTCTGCTTGTGCAGATGGAGATGGTGTCCTGCAGTTCTCGTCGATAGCAGCTGAGCTATATATCTGGATGTGGCACTATCTATCCCTCTCTATGTAAGTGCTCTTTTAACACATTCGTATGTCATGTTGCCAAACGCTTTTTCTATGTCTAGGACAGTTTCTTTGTTTGTCAGTGCATCCTGGATTTCGTCAGTCAGTTGTATCAAGGCAGTTTTTGTAGATCTTCCTGCTCGGCACAAGTGCTGGCTGTGTGGAGTGGCACTATCTCCAAGACTTATTAATTATCAACAACCTTCTCCATTGTGTTTAATACAAAGGATGTGAGGCTGATATTTCCAAACTTTCCTCTGGCAAATATGACTGTCGTTGGCATAACCTTGACAGGGTATGCCGAGGTCAATCAATCTGAATAGAAGTTCGTCTCCGGTTAGGCTCCACATCAGTGAGGATAGAACTCTTCCTTGTGGACATCCTCTGATTGTGCAGATGGAGATGGTGTCTTGCAGTTTCGGGTAAGAGGCGAGCTCTTTCCTCCTCACTCTCCTTGAAGCTTCCATTTGGTTTCTTTAACGCCATAACTGTATCAACTCTCCCCCTTTTGCCAGGGTCTTGTGCAGTCTCGCTGCTGCAGGTGTAGAGTTAATCTCCTCTCAGAATTTTCTGATTTCTGTTTTCTTTGTTGTAGGTGGTAAGGGCATTGGTGTAGCTCTGCCAATCTCCGCTGTACTTGGCCCTATTATAGAGCTTCCGCACTTCGGATCGTAGGTTTTATTTGTTTGCATGGGACAGCTTGATTCATATGCCTCAAGTATTGCCTCATTTAGTTCTTCAAGATCGCTTTCCATAGCAAGTGGGTGTCTCGGCCCCTATTTTGTCTGGATACGTGCTAAATTTTGTTTTGAATGGTGTTTTATTTATCCTGTTTTTCTAGGATTCCTCCAGAGGATCGTCTCAGGAGTTTCGCTCTCTAACGTAAACACAATAATTATCTTGTGATCAGATAGAGATGGTTTACTCGATACTTTCCTGTTTTTAACTAGATCTTTAATGCTCGGTGTACTTAATGTGATATCTAATACCTCACTTCTTACCCTTGGTACTAATGTTGGAGTATTCCCAATATTTTGCACAATAAGGCTCTTATTAAAAATATATTCTAGAAGTTGCTCACATGTATACTGTGTAAGTATTTTACCATGCTGTTGTATACCTTTTCACAACAATTAATTTGGTATTACAAGCCTAATGATGGCCACATAGGCCGTAACTAGTTGCTTTGTTGTATTTTTTATAACGTGGTATCGATTTTGAGTAGTTGTATTCTTATTAAAATGTATTCGACATGAAGGGGAAAACTCAAAAAAACCTTGAAACAACATTTTAAAATAATAAAAAATAAAAACCTCTGAAGAAAGTCGTCCAATTTGGGACCGAAAGCTTTGCAAATGTAAACAATTTTTTTTAAATTTAATTAAACTACCTTATTCCAAAAAAAAAAAATTAAAAAAACCTAGAATGAAAAGGTTTAAGAAAAGAAATATGGTAATACGAATTATACCTCCAAGAAAAAAACCTTGTATAATATTCACCAAAAAAATATTTTTATGAAACATAATTTTTTGTTCACAGGAACAGGAGAATAGTATAATAGATGCACTAAGCACTCCCATAGTAAATCTAATTCACTTATTCCCCACATTTGTGGAACTAGAGCATGGATTAGCACCTTCGACATTGGAAATGGAGATCTATCATAAATGCAATACTCCTATTAACTTTTGCTATCCCCAATACTTCAATGTCGATCTTTTTGAAGAAGAAAATATTGTTAAGCACTATACGGAATTTTGGGAAACTAATATACTGAAGGGGTTAAGAAAAATGTTGCATCATCACCATAACATCGATTCTGGGAAAATTAAAGATAAACCGTTTAATTTTCCCTTGTTTGGTATGTTGGAGGAAGAAATGCGGGAATATTTAGGCGATGAGCTAAGTGAAAAGCATGAAGAACAAAGCAATTATGAGGAAGAACAAAACAATCATGATGAAAAACGTGATAAAATTATTAATAAAATTGAAAAATGGAATGAAACCGTGAACGAACTAAGAGAGGACTGTCGTCTTTCCGAAGACATTATGAATGACTTACTAAACATATGCGACTTAAATTCTAAGACTGACTCTGAACAAAACGATGACTTCCTAAATAGAAACTTATCACACTCATCAGCAGAAAGTAGCTATATACCCGAAAATGGAGATGGAGAAAGTGTTAATTGTAATGATGAATTTGAAGGGTACGAAGGATCTTTCAGTAAACATCCACTTCAAGATCTTTCATTTTCTAGGAGTAATAGTAGTTGTAACAGTGCTGAATATTCAGAGAGTGACAAATATTCACATCTCTTTAATGATTCAGCTAAATCCGATGTATGTTTTAACGAAGATAGAGAAGAGTTGTTAATCGACGATCAGGTGGTTAATGAAAAGGTTGTTAGCTCAGAAACAAAGATTTTCAATCCAAACAATCCATTCTTGCAAAATTTAGATGATGAAGTGCCGAAAGGAGATATCTTAGGATGTGGAATGTAAGTTTCTATTACTTTTTTTTTATGAGAAATAATAGTATTTTATTTTTTTTTTTTGTTATGTAAACAGTTACATTATTTTTCTATGGCTATATTACAAAATTACACTTTCTCAATTATTATTGATTCTTATCTAATAACACAAAGTAGCCATTACCTAATTATTTTAATAAAATCATATGTGTCAAACATTAAACAATAATCTGTGTATAACAGAGCTGCCATTTTTATTTCTTAGATTATTAAAACCTATTTAAAATGGGTAGCAGCATGTAATAGCCACAGAAGAATTATAGTGTTCAACTCAGAAGTAATGCTAATTTCCTTGCTCCTATACTGTTTCATAATTGGCATTTCTGCAAACTATTCGATGTTTATATTATCTATCTACACTCTTATTTAAAGGGTAAACTTTTGGGACACCCTGTATAGATATTATTTCTGTAATTGAACTATATTAGTCAAATTTTTTTACTAGTATATTTTAAACTTCATCCCTTATATAGTACTAGAATAAATTTTGCCATTCAGATATCATTGGAGACCGAAGAAATAATTGTTAAAGTTGAAAATGTTACGTCCCCTATGTCCCGTGACGTGTACCAATAAATCCAGAGAATTTAAATTTTGTTGCCAAATGTTTACTTTTATTTTCAATCCCATCTCTGTGTGTATTGTAGGAAGAGTGAAATAGAAAAATAATAAGGTGTCTGTTCTTTATTTTAACAATTTTTGACAATGCATGAAGTGGTGTTGCAACCAAATAAAAAGGGTAGAGTCGATTAAAATTTACTGATATTTTAATATTTTTGTAGTGGTGGATGTGTATTTTAAATAAACAATAAGCTACCTATAATGAAAATTCCAATTCATTTTTCTACTTGGACAGGCGATTAGTTTCTATAATTTAAAAAAGTTATACCATTGGACAATTATATTTAATTGTGGAATCGTAAAATTTATCTGTGCCACAAACTATAGGTATCTATAATCCTCCCTTCTAGTTGGTAACCTATCTGATAGATGGTAGGTCAGTGATTGTACCGTATACTATATTATCCCCATAAAAACTTGATTCATTAATTTCACTCCATTTTAATTTTTAATTTGATTAGTCCTGATTTTATAAAAAAATTAAATATTGTTTTTGGTTTCTCCAACATTCAGTAGGCACCTTCAGTTTGGTTTGGTTTTTTTAACCGTTAAAATAAAAATAAAATCTATCAGACAATTTTTTTATATATATTCACAGTGAATTTTAACTATTCAAAATTGAGTGCAAAGATTTTAACGGCGTATTTACCAGCCAAAAATAAGAAAACATTTTCATATCGTATGTCCTAACTTGCTTCGTTTTCTACGGGGTGTTAATTTTTTTTAATCCGTTTTTTATCAATTACTCAAAAATCTTCCAGCCGATTTAAATAAAATTTGGTAGGATTATTTGTCATCATAAGAACCTTCCATTGGTATGAATAAAATAAATTTATTAATTCCAATGGCGTCTCGGGAGGCTACCTACTTGATACTTATAGGTAAAATTTTGATACAACACTGCTTTTTTGACAATTAATTTTTTTTAGATTAAGCGGTCAATAATGTAACTTTTTTGCCTCTTGAGCTTTACTCGTATCTAGCTTCGTTTCAAAGAAAAAAAAAATCAAAATCTGTGTCTGGCCCTATTAAAACAAGCAAAAAGTTAATTACTAAATGATGAAGATTGTCACAAAATTGGTCTTAATTTTTATTTGTGTTATGAAATTTAATTCATTATTTATTCTAGTGGCGTCTCAAAATGTGATTTTATTTAATTAATAATTCTGTTTTCATTTTCTAAAAAAAATTGTAACTACTATGAAAATTACCTAAATAAAAAATCTAGGAAGCTGTGACCTTTGTTAACAATAGTTTGTTTTTTATAGTCGGTTTAGTGATTTTTGTGTGGTTGTTTTTCATTTTTCTTTATTTTTTTTAACAATGGGAAATGAACCATTTTCATTCGAGCACCTTGCAGACATTCATTTTGTTTATGGTCTGGTTGATGGAAACGCGCTTGAAACTCGTAGGATGTAGTCGGTTAAGATTTTCTCATCGTCGGCTGCCCAACTGCATAACTTTCAGCAACTCTCATTCGGCATCTCCGGGAATTTGGAAGATTCCAAACTACCAGAATGAATGCTGGTAGGCCGCGTGAAGTCCGCAACGTAATGTCGGAAGAGGAAATTCTGCAAGTTATTGAGGAGAATCCTGCGTTAAGCACGAGGCAAATTGCACAGGATTTAAACCTTCGTCCATCGACAATTTGGAGGGTTTTACATTAAAATAGTCTTTATCCATACCATATCCAGCGCGTACAGGGTTTCCTCCCACGGGATTTTCCCCTGCGGGTACAATTCGCAAGATGGATACTAAATAATTGTGCCAGGATCCGAACTTTTTATCTGGCATCCTGTTTACGGACGAAGCCCAATTTACCCGCGATGGGGTCGTTAATTATCATAACATCCATGTTTGGGCAATGGAAAATCCTCACTAAATTCGACAGTCAAATTAACAAGAACAGTTCAGTTTGAATATTTGGACAGGGATTGTTGGGGACTTTTTAATTGGACCATTTATTTTTTCCCGAACTTCAAATGGTAATACCTGGACTTTTTACAGAATATTTTTACCGGTTTATTGGAGGATGTGCCGTTGAATATTCGCCAAAATCTTTATTTTATGCAGGATGGAGCCCCTCCCCATTTTCGAATAACTGTCCGCGAATATTTAGTCCTCGAATTCTCCAGACGCTGGATCGGCCGAGCAGGTCCAATAGCGCGGCCACCGCGTTCCCCAGATTGTACCCCGTTGGATTTCTTTTTATGGGGCTATGTTAAAAGCCTGGTATATGGTGCAGGACCAGTTCCTTCTGTTGAAATCTGTACAACAAAGGATATTTAATGCCTTCGAGGTAGTCAGAAGGAGTCAGTCGGCAGTCCATGAGGCGAAGAATGGAGGGTTGTATCGCCGCAGGAGATAGACATTTCCAGCATTTGTTATGAAAATCTGCTTTTCTATGTATGTGTTACTTAGGATAAGTTAAATTTTAAAAAGAAATTAAAGAAATTAAATGAATCTCAATAATTGATGTGAATTTAGTACTTGTTTTAATAGGTCCAGGCACATATTTTTTTCTTGGAAACAAAGCTAGATACAAGTAAAGCTCAAGAGGCAAGAAAGTTACATTATTGACCGCTTAATCTAAAAAAAAAATGTATTGTCAAAAAAACAGTGCCGTACCATAATTTTACCTATAAGTATCAAGTAGGTAGCACCCGAGAAGCCACTGAAATTAATAAATTTATTTTTTTCTCACCAATGGAAGGTTCTTATGATGACAAATAAGTCTACCAAATTTTATTTAAATCGGCTGGAAGGTTTTTGAGTAATTGATAAAAAAACCGATTTTTTTAAGAAACTTTGACACCCTTTATCTAGAAAAAGAAGCAACTTTGGACATACGATTATATGAAAAAAATTTCTTATTATTGGTTAGTAAATACGCCCTTAAAATATTTGCACACAATTTTGAATCACCCTGTATGTTAAAATTTCGAAACTTATCCGTAATGGATATGTCATGGCAAGTCAAATTATTATTTGTTATTTGTTTTAAATTTGTTTTGTTCAATTTTCATTTTTGTATTAAATAATTTTCACCTTTCAATACAATGACTCCATGACTTTCCATTTAGGTGTGCCTGATGATGAAGTAATCACTTAGAAAAACCGGTCGTCAATAAATTGACTTTTTGAGAGAGAAAAGACCTTTCTTTACACTTTCGTACAATTATCTTGAGCCTCGGGCTCAATGTGCATATCCTAGAGACAAAGTAACTGTCTCAGTTTTACAACGTCAACCAGCTCTGTTACGTGTCAAACGTATCTCTACACTTATCCACCAGCCTTTTGTTTTACAGTAGTAATAACATTGCCGAGAGGTGTCCCTCTCTGTCTCTGTAAGCTGTATATGATTTGGTAGACGTGCATGATGTTATATAAGCACAGTTGCTAGGTGCTTGTTAAATGGTTTCTTAAGCCAGCGACTAAAGCAGTTCACGTAAATAGGTGATGCGATTTATGGGCACCGATCCTAGAGCTGTAAGGACGTTTTTCCACCCCTTGAGAAAATATTACGAATGGCGTTGTACTCGGGCGTCAGATTATTTGAAGTGGTTTACTCCACTAAACTATTGAGACGGAGTCAAAAGTACTCAGGCAACTGCAAATGGAGATAAAAAATTCTAGAGGTCTCTAGCTTATCTACGCACATATTACAAAACGAAAAAATATACTATTGCCATCAACTAAACGAATATATTATATAACCATTCGATGTTGTGAGAACACTGTAAAAAAATGAAATCCACCAATCACAGTTCATATTTTGGTCACCCAACGACTATTATTTTTAACATTTTAAATAAGTGATTATTCTGTCAAACTAATTGTCAGTATATTTTTTAGTTATTGAAATTAAATATACATTAAAATTACTTATTCTTGTGTAGAACCGATAAAAGCATTTCTATTTTTTATTTATACTATAATTATAAATAATTTGTTAATTTGAATAAAACTCCATGAAGTCAATTCAATTGCGAGTATTAAATAGGCCGGTGGATGAGTCGTGAGAGTATCTGACTTCGACGCGAGAAACCCAAATTCGAGCCTCGACTGGGGACTTTTAAAATAATTTTTTTTTTCGTTTTTTTTTTTTATTATTAAAATTCATAAATTATTTTAAAATTAGTTATTTTGTTTTAATAATCTAAAATATTTTTTTTTATTTGTAAATTTTCGTTAGTGGGTCGTAGAAAAAATATACTGTACTACTTGTTGTACTACTTGTTGCACCTATTTCCAATGAAGTGTTACCATTTTCACCTAAAATAACAAAATTATACTACATAAGTATATAGATTAGTGATGGGACTTTTCATGTAAAGTAATTTATGAACTAGTTCGACGGACGTGTCAGGAAAAGTAGTGAAAAGTAGTCGACCTTGGGCAAAGAAGACAGTTAAATATTTCTCCATCCTGGGTGTTTTTTCAAAAACACTTAGGGAACAATATTTGTATTTACGTTTTTTAGGCAAATCATTTGTAAAATACTTCCAAACTCTGGATTTTTTGGTATTTTTTTTAAGTTTTCTTTAGAATGAGATATGAAATGAAAATTCAAAAAAACCGTTAAAACATATAAAGGTCAGTAGTCATTTCTTCTATTTTAAACTATATTTTGCCTTTGCTTGTAAGACATTCAGCCAAATTATTTTATTTAATTTTGAGCATGCGCAATGGACTTTTCCACTTTTGAAAAGTGTGTTTGGACAAGTCAACTTTTCAGACTATTCCGTCGGATTTGTATTTGGACTTTTCCAAGCGACCCATCACTAATGTGGATATAAAAGGTTTGTTCCAACAACGATCAGAAACCAGTCATTGCCACCAGGATTCTGCGCAATAGTTTATTAGGTCCCTAAATTATATGCTGCGCAGAATCCTGGTGCCAATGACTGGTTTCGGATCGATCGTTGTTGGAACAAACCTAAAGCGACTCTGAATTTACCTTAGGGTTGCCAGGTCTGAATTTGCATTTGGCAGGATTTAGGCATTAGAAAAGCGGGACAAAACAAGAAAAAGCGGGACACTTCATAAAAGAAAAAAAACATGTTTTTATTTTCTATAAGTACATTGCATAAAACCCATATAAAAAAAGACTATCACAATCTTAGGAACATAGGAACACAAAAAACGTACAGGTACAGCAAAACATAAATAATCAATATTTAAAACTTTAGACTAATACAAGTATTATTTCTTACTTGTAAAACTCATACAAAAAAAAATAACAAATAAAATCGAAAACAAAACAGACAAAAACAAACACTTTCCAGCACAAAATATAACTATAAAATAACAATTTCTAACGCTACTTTTTTTTGAAAAAGAATATTTTTCCTGTGATTTAACCGCCCGCAAAAGTTGTTTATTTTTTATTATCTTGTGGTAAAATTCTGTACAACTTTCTGTATAGTTAACTTTAATTTGGAGCTCTGCTTTGACATGATCTACTAAGCGTTGCGATTGTCGTTCCATGTATTATCGCTCCATGTATTATCGCAGAGAAAAAAATACACTCTCTGAAGCTGCATTGGAAGTAGGTATAGACGCAATGAATTGAAATAGTAAAAGCATATTTTTTAATTCCGGAGAATTTTTAAAAATATGTGTCCACTTATCTAAAGCGCTAAGTTCTTTATTCTCGATAAGTGAATTAAGGTAGTTCACTCGTAAAACGGCTTTTCTTAAGAATTCAATAAAATTTAAATATAAGGTTTATGAAAGTGTCGTTTACGTAACTAAAAAAAAATTTGATTTTTTGACCGTCTGTGAAACGAGATATTAACCATAAAAATGTGCATAATTAACACTCTTGAAGCCTATCATGTACACAAGCAATGCATTTATTTCAAGATATCTCGAAAACGGTTCTTACCATATTTTTTAAAAACTAATGTTAAATAAATCAAGAAGTTATAAAATTTTTATAAATAATCGCTGAATTTTTTGACCGTCTTAGAAAAAAGATATAGATTTTTAAAATAAAAATATTTTCAAAGCAGTTGACGAGTAGTTTCGTAAAATTATTACAACTTGGCAACATTGTAGCCACTTCACGTAACAAAGTAACACTCGATCAGCTAAGAGGTTGTTATAAACTCGCGACGTGTTCTTGAAAAATTAATTCGTCCACTGTGTTTGAGAATTGGAATCGGCGGTTCTGTTTGAACCAAAACAAACCCTTAAAATTAGTATGAGGAAGTCACAAATTTCTATACCATATCGTTTAAATATTTTCGAGATTGCCGGATGCATTTGATTAAAATTATAACATGTCCATATGTGTTTATATACATGTGTTTTGTACAGTCTTACAAAAATAAAATGGATTAGCATTGAGAATCTCGAACTTTTGGTATTCACCATTACGCGATATTTTTATGTACGACTGCCGCGAGTAAACTACCTTAAGCACCTTTTTTGCAATACAAAATTCTTTATAAAAATCATCTACATTGATATAATTCTTCAGTGCACTGTCTTGAATTACCAGTAACAAATCTTGAAAATTGATTTCATTTTTTAAAGCAAGAAAGAAACACGTACGTACCCGTGTACTCATGTACAATACCAAAAAAAGTTATGATATGAATCATCCGAGACCGCGCGCCGCGAGGCGAAGCTGGCACGTAGATAATAGTAAATTGCCCCGATTTTTTTGTCGGGCGTCGGACCATTCGACCATTATGAAATAATGAGATGGATGGGTATTATTTTTTTTATTTCTTCAAATTACATTTCGCGGTGCATTTTATTCATGTTCATTACAAAGCGGCACAATATGCGTCCCGCGTAGACTACCGGCGGGACGCGGGACCGTGGGTTCTGAAAACGAGACATCCCGCGAAAAGCGGGATGCCTGGCAACCCTAACCCAGCTGCTTGAAAAAGTAAGCACTTCCAATGTTAAATAATTTTGATTGTAAGAGCTTACATTAAAATATTTTATATACGTGGGGTTGCCTAAATGCGATCAAGGTTGTAAACAGAGCTGGGCAAAATACTTTTTAAAAGTATTTAAATACTAAATACTTCTTCATAAATATGATTATTTAAATTTTAAATACTTTTTTAAAGCAAAATATATTTAAATAACAAATACCTACAGTATTTAAATACTTGTTTGGGATAAATACTTACACAAAAGTATTTAAATACTCAAAAGGTATTTAAATACATAAAAAGTATTTAAATACTATCATAATATTAAAACAATTATGTAAATTTCTTAAAGGCCTAACACCAAGATTACAGTACATAACTAATAAATACAACGGAAAAAATATTATTTTATCCTTTCAGTACGTTTAAAAAATTTGGTAGGTTAAAACAAATATATACAGGGTGTCCAAAAACTCTGCACGAATGAAAAATAAGAAACAAATATCATATGAATATATGTCACAAACGTCTTATAACTTTTAGACGCCATAATTTTGCATTGTGATTGATTTTAGATATGTTTACCAAATTTCAGCTGATTCCGATAACATGAACTGGTTCAGCATTGAACAAATTTAGTTCCTAGGAGAACTTCTGGGTAAAATACTTTATTAATTTAGATACCTTAAAACTGCATTATCAATTACCATCCAGTTCTAAGCTATGTTTAAAATATAAAATAAAGCCTCTAGCTAATTGAAAGTTTATTTAAAATCAATTGCAAAATTTATACCGAACATACAGACATACATACATACATACATACATACAGGAAAGCGAGTTAATAAAAACGTGCTGAAGAACGTATTCCTATAAATACACTACAAGAAAAAAATACGTGTTACGCAGCAGTTTTTAAGGTAAAAAAAATTAATATTTTGCCTCTTAAATGTCCTAAACCTTAAATTTACGATTTTACCAAATGTTTGAGAAAATATGGGAGTAAACCAACGGCTTCGCTAGTTTATTCGATCAGCTTAAAGTCTTTTATCTGGCAACATTGTATTATAATTTTCGAAAAATGTCGTTTGGATTTAGATATATTTTTAAAAAGATTGCCACAGCCAGTGCATGAAAATTGTTTGCTAATGGATAAAAGTACTGCTTTTAATATTTTTTCTTGTATTTGCCATTTTTCGTCCTTAAGTCATCCTACAGAAGGACAATTTGTCATTTTTTACAACAAAATTCTTAAGTAAACTCTTTTTCAGTGTATCTGTATAGTGATTTAAACCGCGCAGACTTATTTGGAATTATAATATCCTTTCTTGTATGGACTTACTTTTAACTGACCATCTGTACCTCTTAACATTTTTTAATTACTGTGTAAAATCACAAATCATAACAATAAATACTTATCTTGCTTTATTTCTTTTTTCTTGTAACATAAATTACAACAGTCACAACTTGACAACTAGAACAATGAAGAATCTTCTCTAACGCTTAAATACGAACTTATACTTTAGCACTTCATCTAGACTATTTCGCACGTTTGGTTTAATAACAAGATGAAACTTGTTAAAACGTGTTTTTATTTAAATCACTTAACAGACATTTATTTATTATAGGAAAATATTTTGATTTTCATTTTAATTTATAAAAACGAAACACCTATACAAGTAAAAAAAATATATAGATTAGGAACTTTTATTATAGATAGCTAATTATTTATTTAAAATTCACATCGACTACTACAAGACTTACAATTTTTTAATTATCAATAAATTTTATATAGTTGCCACGCCACTTCATGCATTGTCATAAATTTTTAAAATAAAGAGCAGACACCTTTTTTTCTATTTTACTCTTCCTACAACACACAGAGTTGGGATTAGTAGGAAAATAAAAGTATATATTTGGCAACGAAATTTAAATTTTTCTAAATACACGGTACACGTCACGAGACCAAATTTTAATCATTATTTTTTGGCCTCCAGTGATATCTGCATCGCAAACGTATAATAAAAATAATAACTTTTCAGATTGGCACCATCCAACCCTTTCCTAAGCTACATACCAAAAGAAGACAACTCTGATCAAAAATCTGATTCTACTAACTCAACCGAATACGGAACAAGCGTACAAGAAGTAAAAGTCGCCAAATCATGGTCAACTGAGTATTATTCTGGATCAGACATGAGCATGTCTCTAGTATCTGATTCTGTAGATTCTACACCAAATACCAACAATTTTAACTATTCAGAACCTGTGTGTACCGATAGTGATAAATTTCCCGCAACGTCTCGCACAGCAGTAATGAACAGTATTCAATTTTCACACGCCATTAATAAGCCCGTATTAACCAATAGTGTACATGTAGAACAACACAGTGTAAGAAGTGACATTAGTGATGTAAGACCGGGTCTTGATATTTCGAGACCCGAATTCTACCCCCAGAACTATTTTTACTCCCCACAGTTTTATAATTATAATAATTACCCCCCTATGTATCCCCAATCTTTCCCACACGCATCATTAGCTAACCCTTATTATAATATGGCGCATCAGCAAGTCTATACGAGATCGAGTTATAACGTTATGCAATCGAATATTCCTTCTCAGGCTTTACGGAAGCCTATCGGCCCGCCGCCCGGTTTCGGACCTAATCCTCAACAGAGTAACGGTCAGTGTAGTGACTTTTATGAAGCATATAATCAAATACTTAAGCAGAAGTTTAATCATTAGGTTAGATTTTTAATTGCATATTTGTTTTCATTTGATCATAATTGGTTGCTCAAATTGGAAGTGATTTCATTCATCTGTTTGCGTTGGAAACATGTTTATTTGAGAAAAATGAAATTATGTGTCTATAAAAATGAAGTCCGGTTAAAAAACTACATGCATATTATCCCACCCAAGCCATAATTATTTCTGTTTTTACCAAGTATTCAATTTTTTATACACTCGTTAACAAAAAGTATTACATAGTGGATTGTGACTAAAAGTTTTATTATTATTTCCTAATTCTTTTTAGAAATGGCAAGTAATGAAACTTTGCAATGTTTAAAAGTGGTTTATTTGATTAAGGGTCAGTCTTTTCACCTCTGAGTAAAGTAATCAGCAAGTAACTACTTGCTGATTAAACTATAGGGCTATTGTTTGTTAATCTGTCAAGTTAACATATATGTAACTTCACTCAGATGTGAAAAGATCGGCCCTAAAATTAAAAATTGGAAAATAACAGGAAAAAATAAAAATAATTTTACAAAAATTAAAAAATAAATATCACTAAAGATAATTTTTACATTTTAGTATCTGGTATTGACACCTCTAGTTCAAATGACATCTCTTATTCTCCTTGGAAAGATTCTTAAGAGCCCTTATGTAGGGAAAAGGTGGGTAAGTTGGCGTACTTTGAGAAAATTAAAATATTTTTTTTGCAAACTTATTATTAGGTTTACTCATTTTGTAACTGATTAAATATTTTTTATTTAATTCATGTTTTTTAAAAAAATTTGGAGATATAAATTTAAAACGTGTTCAATTCATTATCTTACCCGCATGTGTAGTCAAGTTGATGAACTAATGTGGGTAAGACGGCGAGATACCTCTACAAAAAGAATAAAAACAATATTATAAAAGAAATAAAGTTTAATAATCCAAATGCAACTAAATGGTACATCGACAATAAGACCACATCTTAAATTTAGATTATTTTAAGCTGAATTCGATACAGTTTAAACACTAAAATCAAAATGCAATGTCTTTGGCTATGTCCCACATATTAAGTAAGTTTTGACATCTTTTTCTGGATCCATATCATTATCTGTATCAACATAAGTTATTTTGCTTTACTTTCATATCTTATTAACTTTATTTTCTTTTGTATTTTTTAATCCTTTATCTGAGAATTAAATAGTTTTATTCCTGTGGCTTTAAATCCACTAATAGCATTTGATACAGTGGCCACTTTTAAATAAGCTTGACCAAATAGTTAAGCAATGTCAAATAGAGTGGAAACTCGTCCAGGTTTGCTGTTTAAAAAGTCTTCGCATGCTCTACTGTATGTTTTTTGGGGTCCATATAATGACACATCAATTAGCTGTATATGGTGACTTGTATGTGCAGTAAATCCAAGTAAAATTATATTTTTTTGACGGCATAGATTGATTGGTTGTAATGTGACATGACTTGCATGGATATCCATTAAAAGTAAAACAGGGGGTTGCTCGTTGGATCTCACATCCTGAATAAAATGCTCCAGATAACTTATAAAGTTGTCGGCAGTCATCCAGCCACTATCATGTGCAACACCAACAAATCCGGGAGGTATGTTATTCCTAAAAGATGGCTGCATCCTAACCCTCAGATATATTAAAAAGGGTGGAACAAATGATCCATTTGAATTCATGCAACAAACTGCAGTAACATTAGTGCTTTATGCTCATGTAACTTTTACCACCCTATGCTTCCTCTAGTAGTTATTATTTTTGGAGTTTTTGTTGCCACTGTAGAAACACCTGCCTCATCCAAATTGGAAATTTGATGTGGTTTTAAAGAGTGCTCCTTCAATTTTCGAAGTGCTTCAAAAAATATATTTATGTTTTCTCTGTTAAATGCCATCAACCTTGCGCCAGAGGTAGCCTCAGGACATCTTAGTGGAAATTTATATTTGTCCATAAACCATTGTACAAAGTGTCTACTAGCCTGCTGCAGAAGTAGTTGCCAAATGTACCGATTTATACTTGTATTTAACGATTCGTCATCTTATGCCCCTTTCCCTTACTCCAAATCTAAATTTTCCAATTTTTCAACTCATAAAGGTTGTCCGGGGCGATATGAGCCCTTATGCGCTATTCTAGATAGTCCGAAACATGTTCAATTGGGTTTAGGTCTGGAGTAACTGCTGGTCAATCTAAAACTTGAATGCCAACCTTTTGAAGGTATTCCATTGTTATTCTGACAATGTGCAGGCGATCGTTGTTTTGTATAAGAACAGGATTATTTGTGCACCTGGGATGTCCTGAAATTGGCCTTCTATGTAGCCGTCAGTTTCTGTAAACCTTCTTAATACTCTGGAAACGCTGGATTGGTTGATTTCCATAACATAGACAATTTATTACTGATTAAGGATGGAGTGGGTGGGGGAAAAATCCGCACTTTTAGTATTTGCAATATTTTTTACCTTTTCCACTTCTATAATGTACTGAAAATTGTCTATACTTTTGGTTTGTTCATACAAGTACCTTTATATATGAGAATAAGACGAAATACTAATTTTAAAATATTTCAGGTTAATATATCTAAATATGGACAAATAGGATCTTTGCCCCATTAAGTGGGGCAAATATCCAAACGGATCTTTTTCCCTTTGCCCCTCTGAACAAAAAAATGTTTATGAATAAAATTTCACAAATTCGTAAAAAACTGAAAAAGTTCTTTGGGAAATTCAAAAATATAATATAAAATCAAACTAATGCAACGTCAAATGGCTCAAACTGTAGAAAAACTACCAAAGTTTTTGACTCTTGCAGAACTACTTTATAATGATTTAGAAAGTTCCCGAATAATGCCACATTTATTGACATAAAACTCTTTCTCTGAAAAACGCATTGTGTTAGGTGCCCATTTGTAAAAATTCCATGATGAAAACCATCATCTTCCGCTATAATAATCCTAATTACATAAAATCGAAATGAGTCTTTTGTTTTACCATAAACTTTTACTACAGCAAACTTCCCTGCACTCTTTGATTTTGAATCACTTTCGGAAAAATTGATGTCGCTGATATCACGAAAGGATATTAAGGAATCTGAGTCAGAGGAGGATTGATTTTGATTTTCCTTGAGTTTGCTTTCTTTCCAAAAACATTTCTCACCGTTGTTTTATTTTTTTAGTTATTTATATCTTTTTTTCAGTTTCTTTGTTCTGCTATTTCCAGTTGCTTCTCATTGGGTGTTGAAGTAAGGAGAGTAGATTTCAATGACGATAATGTTACGGAAAACTGTTCAGGGTTTCCTTATGAACATCCATCTTTGGGAAATTCTGACGCATTTGAAATATCATCTTCACCTTGGAAATGTTTAGCATTGTCAAATGGTTCTACTTCGTTATCGCTCTGTGGTTGTGCGTCTTCTTCAAACACAATTTTTCTATGCAGGTCTTCATCATTGATATCGGCATCATATTCTCTATCTTCTATTTCTCTTTCGTGCTCTGTAACCGATGCAGGTAGAAAATCATCCTCAAAAATATTTTCATCTAGGGAATATATGCCAGTCGTCTTAAATCCTTTTTGATAGTAGCTGTTTTTTCGTAGGCTCGTTTGAATAATCTAGCGACGTGGTATTCCGTCACTTCTTGTCCAGCGTTTGCTGTAGGCCAGTTATCGCACAAATCATAGTAATAAGCGTTAATTGAGGTGGCTAATATATGGTGAAAGACTAAGCAAATGGACATTGTTCGTTTTTGCGTCCGTAACGGGTTCCAGATGAGAAATGTGATTATCCAATATTAGCAGGACAGTATTATCAGGTGTAGGATTCGTATGCTTGCAAAACTGCTGCAAATAATCAAGGGCCAGAATCTGTTACAGCTAAGGCAGAAGCAGTTGGCGCATCCTTTATTTAAAAAGATGATTTAGTCTTTTAGGTGAAAAATGAATAATGCGTGAACATGGTCCCATAACACCCATAGAACATGTCACTGTTACATTTTTCCCTGTTCATCAGCTAGATTTTTAGCTACTTCTTTTTTACTAGTGAGAGCTACATGTTTGAGCAATTTATTTGAGACGGCCTGAAAACCACTTTTATCCATGTTGTAGATTTTGTTGGGAGGGAATTTATATTTTTTAAGGACAATTTTCATATTTTGAAAATATTTTGAATATTGTATCAACTGCTGCGGGTTGAATCCCATTGTTCTAGCTACACTAGTTTTTCGAAGGGTACGAATGAAAGACGATTTCGTTTCATAAATTGTCTAATCTCTTCCAGACGATTTTATCTTTAAAAACGCATGGCTAATGCTTTACAATTATCTACAACTTGTTTCTCCTGTTCTTGACTAAATACAGCTCGAAACCGGCACAAGGAATCTACGCTACCAGCTTTAAGTCGCTTCCGAATCGTTGATTCATCGTACCCAAGTGTCCTTCCTATTTCCCTTATTGACATGCCTCTATCCCACAATTGCCGCCTATCCTGTCTTAAAACATCCTAAGTCAAAGGCTTCAGGCTTTCTTTTTTCTCTTGTAAGCCCTGAAAAAAATTATTGGTCATTCGCATAACAGAAAAATATTTTATAAAATTCACTACTCAAGAAGTAAAAAAAATACACACACATCAGAAATGCGGATTTTTACCCCAAAATGAATTTTTGGATTTAGCAAGAGTCAATGTAAAAAAATAACCCTATTCAAATATATTTTTTGTGAAATATGTTCTCTAAGATCCATGCTTCTCATAGTAATTAAAAAAAATTAGTATCAAATACCCTAGAGACATTTAAGCTTTATATTTGAGAAAATTAGATTATGGGTCTTTTGACTGTTACCATGCTTATACCCAATACAGTTACTTACCCTTCATAAGGCCATCATCAACCAACGTAATGCTGGGCCACTATCGAAAGTCCAAAAGCAGGCTGTTATCTTTTAATCGTCGCATTAATTTTCCCTTCAACTACAGTAAAAGGCCAGCAATATCTCGGTAATTCATTGTTTGTTGGGTATTATGCCCTTCTTATCTTAAAATTTACTCAGGTAAAATGTTATATGTAATGTAATTTCGGATTCTAATAACCATGGATGAAATACGTTGGTGATGTATTTCGCTTTTTTCCAACTTTATAGGAACGTTGTCTGTTATTTCTCTTAGGATTCTTGAATATCTAAACACTATTATAGGTGGCATCATCTTACCATCCACATCCGTTGTAAGCTGTAAACCATTCTTTCTCATCACTGTTCACCTGCTGCATCTTATATCCCCTATTCAAACTAGTTGCTTTAGGGGATCTTAAGGATAGATCCGGATGTCATTTTCTAAACTGATAATAAAAATCGTAGCCAGCCAATTTTTTCCCTCTGTACACCTATCTTCTCCGCAAATATATATACCATTTTTCTAAAGTCTCCAATTGACAATCCAAAATACAGCTCAGATAGTTTGAAACAGTATTGTTTTAACAGATTCCTCTTCCTCTTCAGTGTTTTGGAACGAACCATCTGAAAGAACAAAAAAATCTTAAATATTTAACAAATTTTGTCATGCTAATACCCCAAGTAAAAAACACACTATTGCGCCCTGTTCGTATTTGAAATAAAATATGTTCAAAAAAATTAAAATTATAGAAGTACACCGGATGTCAAAAAAAAAAAATATAATAAAAGTACAAACCAACCAACTCCACCAATTTTAAGAGTGAAAAGTAATACTTACAATTTTTTGACCACTTATCGGTGAGAACTCAAATAGATCACGCCAACAAAAAATTACTTTAAAATAAAATTATACAGTTCAACTACGTAATGAAGGAGAACTGACGATCTCGACTATGATTGAATCATTTCATAGTAATGTTTCGCCATCTGCCATACTTTGTGAGAAACGGATTAAAACGCTATTGCCTCATTCACGCTATTACCCCATCCTCCCCTACTAGTAGATGACATCAGATAAAAAAATGTCTACACTCTGGATGAAATGCTTTTTCAAATGTATAGAAATGTTCGGTGCAAATAGTTTTCAAAAACAAATATACACTATGGTAGTTTCCAAGTTCAAAATTTAAGCCAACAAATGTACGTAGACATATTGGGATTGTGAATTAGTGGGGCAGAGAACTGCCTGTACATAAAGATAGATGGCGCCTACTGTGCGCAGGTGCAAACAGGGGCCCTATTCTCCAAGTTAAACGATGTGAACATTCCACTGTGGGATATGAAGTGTCCTATCACCAATTTGTTCTCTCGGTCATCGTATTCGGTATTCTTGAATCATTCACATCTCATAGGTTCATGGAGCACCGCTGCCAAATTTAAGTTGTACTTTAGAACTATTTTAGAAGACATTTTACTTCAATTTTTTATTATTTTTTGACAATTGTAATAACAGATTATATTTTCCATTATTTTCTATTAAATCTTGTGCCAAAAATTTACTTAGACGAACATTTTGTATGAATATTTGGTCATTAAAGTCAAAAGGATCCTCTTTTCTTAAAAAAATTCTATTTGGTCGATTGGCATCTTCTTGCGCTTCAGCTAGATCATTCAAAATATGAATCTAAATAAGAGCGTCGTCCAAATCCATTTTAATAAAAAAAGTGACGTTTTGATAGTGCACGACAATGATAGTTCTCCCAATGTTCTCCCGAAATGATGCTCTTCTACTGGTTTTGACTAAGAGAAGTATGTTCTCTCGATTTTCATGCGAAGTGATTATTCACTTCAATTCGAGAATACCATTCACACACTTTTTAAGAGAACGGCTGTTGAGTTCGCTTGAAATTATCATTCTCTCAACTGGAGAATAGGCCCCCAGATTAGTTGCAGCATAAGAACTACATATTTTTTCCGTTAGAATATCAGAGTATCATCAACTAGTCCACTCTCAACGACTTGTGCCGTTACTTTAAACTTTTTTCTGTTTTTAAAATTATGCAATACTTTTTGTGACTAGTGTAGTTTTTAATTCTAAACAATTCTACTTAATATAATTTTTTAATATTGTCAAATTTATATTTTGTGGCATACAAAGATTTTTTATAAAGAGTAATCTAATAATCGTAAAACCAGTAATAACAAAGCTTTCAATATGACTCCAACTTAAGTTGACACACTGTATAATATACAGAACATATTATGTTCTGTTATATAAAATGTATTGTTGGTCTCCAACCGTTTAGGTAATATCGCTAGTATTGTTTCGTCTTTAACAGTATGGGACAATCTATTTTATTAAAAATTGGATATTAGATAGGTATGTTAATGCTTTTAAAACGTTTTTAATTCATATAAAAGACAGATGAAATTAAAATTCTTGATGGTAAGGACGTGTACGGAGTAAAATCTTCATACAAAAAAAAAACAATTTTATCGTAATCAATGTTAATATTGACTGAAAGCTAATTTATAACCAGTATGTGTGCTTGCTTAGTAAAAGCTCGAATTCAAATTACTGGGACTTGTTAGTTTGCAACCAAAAAATAATTGAATTCCGATTCAAATCACTTTTTATAGATAGACACGAGGGTTATCCCTAAAATAAGGTATCTATTTTTTTTTTTACAAAGACCATTTATTTGCGATGAATTATACATTGTTGGAAAGTCTGGTCTTTCTAGTATTTTTCTACATTTTTTTAATTTGTATTTATTAGATTACATTTCGTTAGGAAATATATCCTTCCCCTCCTCAACCTTTTCAGATCTATTGTGGATATCCTTTAATCGTTGGTTAGAGTGCCTTGTCTAGTTTGGTCTTTTGTAATAGACTCCATAGACTAGGAAGTAGCTCTCCAGTGTAACTAGTTGTCCTTTAGTTTTCTTCTCCAAGTGTAAAGAATCTCAGTCTTGATAGACCTTTGCAGTAGCACAATACACGTACTGTAGTTTTCTCCTCTTCCAGACAGAATCGGTACAAGATCGCTTCTGTCAGGCCGATGTTATACATTATATAGTATGTTTTCTATTATGGCTTAGTAGATGCTGTAATTATACTAAAACTAGTCGTGTTCCACTAACCTATTTTTTGGTGATCTTATCAACCTAATCTACTTATTTCCTAAAGAATCCAGTGGTCTAAAATTAGATTTCCTCAATATACCTACAAACCCAACATTTAGGTGATTCGGTAAATAATGCCTTATATTCTGCTTTTTACTGACTATACTAGCTAGTTCTTTTCGCATGTCTGCATTATTCAGAAGATGCAGAACTTCATTGTTGACATGTTCATGCAGTCTTTCTTTATGTTTTCCTGCACATTTTTTTATTTCTCTCGTTATTGTAGGTATGTTGAGATCTAGTGATAGGTCGCTTGGAAAAGTACACGGACAAGTCTGAAAAGTTGACTAGTCCAAACACCTTTTCAAGCGGAAAAGTGTATTGCGCATGCGCGACTTTAAATTAACTAATTTGTCGGAATAAAATATAGTTTAAAATAGAAGAAACAAAAAATGATATGTTTTAACAATGTTTTTGAATTTTTGTTTCATATCTTATTATAATAAACACGTGAAAAAATACAAAAAAAAAACTGAAAGTTGGAAGTATTTTACAAATGCTTTGTCTAAAAAACGATAATACAAATGCAAATATTGTTTCCAAAGTGCTTTTGAAAAAAAAAATAGGATGGAGATTTAACTGTGTCTGTGCCCAAGGTCGATTACTTTTCATTGTGACTTTTCATTACTTTTCACTACTTTTCCGGACATGTCCATCGAAGTGTCCAAAAATTAGTTTTCATGAAGAGTCCCATCACTTTATTTTGGAGAGTCTTATTTCTACATTGATCTTCTTTGTACAGCCCCATAGTAGAACCCGTAAATCCATACATGCTTTAATCCTTATATGTACATCAGTACCTTATTATGTATGGATAATTGGGATTTTCTTCCTATTAACCAAAATATTTTTTGTAGTGATGGTACTTTTCATGAAAAGTAAATTTTGGACTAGTCCGACGGACATATCCGGAAACGTTGTGAAAAGTAGTCAACCTTGAAAAACTTAATAGAAAGGTATAACGTATACTAGTCACTCTGGAAATAATATTTCGTTCCGTTTTCTTTGAGTCTTTTGACCAATTTCCCTGTGCATTGAAGACAGTTAAATGTTTCTCAATCCTGGATGCATTAAAAAAAAACTTTGGGAACAATATTTGAATTTGTATTTTGGTTTTTTATGCCAAACATTTGTAAAATACTTTCAAACTCTGTTTTTTTCTTCGTTAATTTTTTTCACGTTTTTATTTTAATAAGATATGAAACGAAAATTCGATACAAGGTTATGTTATAACATACATAAGAAACATGGTGTAAAAAATAAAAGGTAGGATATCAATTGTGTTAAAAATAGGACGGACACGCGCATGACGTCACGCGTAGAGTTTGTATAGGTGCGATTTTAAAAATACTGATGAAGTGTGAGAAAATATATGTTATTTACAGAAATTTCATTAGTATTAAAGAGTCGTATTTTATAAATTAGATGAAATATCTAAGGATATTATTATGGAAAAAAACTATGAAGGAAAATAATTGCAAATACATACATAAAAGAAATATTTATTTTAAGAAACAGTTTCCTTTTTCTTTTTAATGATTTATTTTTGTTATACATATTCGAATGCAGGTTTTTAATTTAAAAAACATTCGACTTCTAAGGAATAGTTTTTATAATCAGGATAATGAGAAAGGTATATTTACAGCTCGGAACTTCTCAACTGGGGACCCTGGGTAAAAATTTCGCATCTGGGGACGCCGGAAATATTTAACTGATTAGGATTCGCAACTAGTGACTCATTTACCCGCATATTACCCAATTGAATTATACTTAACTACTTATTTTATGGAAAATATACCAAAAATAGTTATTAAAAAATATTTTTTTATGTATATATAATGCAGAACATAAAGATAACGTAACAAATACAAATAACTGCTACATGGTGGGTTTATATGGATTAAAATAAAATGTCACTGTATTTTTCCTGGACATAGTTACTAACAGGTTTTTAATTCTTCAATCAGTATTGCCTTTAACAATTCCCCTAAAAAAATACTCATGGAATATAACAATTTTAATACAGGAGGGACGTGGTTCCCTGGGACCTCCACAGGAGTCCCCCTTGGGCCACTTCTGACTAACTTTTTAGTGTCGAGGAAAGCAAAAAAACAACGTCCCCTTTAAATACTTTGCTTTGATTGTTACTGTTAGATACGTAAATTTTGTACTTCATTTTGTTAATAGTTTTCACTAATATCATTTACAAAGAACAAAGTTTATAACATAATATAATACAAATATCTGCCTAAAATGTGTATAAATTACTATAAACGACTAACAAACTACAGCATCGTGTGTCTGTCATATGGTATTTACTTCGCGCCAACTCTACGAATGATGTTAGGGCCGCCATGACATCATGCGCAATATCCCCTCTGCATAAGTAATTTGTCATTTCTTCTTTTTAAACTATATTTTACCTTTGTTCGTAAGCAATTCAGCTAATTATTTAATTTCATGCTCAATACACTTTTCCACTTTTGAAAAGTGTGTCAACTTTTCGAACTAATTAGGCATTCAAACGACCTGTCAAAATGCTGACAAGTAAAAACTGACGTTTAGCTACGGCAACCCTGTGACCTGCTGTTATTGACAGGGTCAATGATACATATATTGTTCTATAGATTGCTAAAAGCGGGTCCTATTGCGAGCGACCATATTACCTCTCAAGTGCTCATTAATCAGAATCAGTCTAGCAAAAATGTGTTTTGAAACTAATTATCAGCCTTTGAATATAGTAAAAAAATAATTACCTACATTTTTACTTCAATGCATAAACATATTTATTTTAGAAAACATGGTTGATCAATCTATATCACTGTCTATTTCGTTGACCCTTTCAAACCACTGGGCTTACAGGGTTGCCATAATGTTGAGATATCATAACCTGTCAAAACCCACTGGTAGCCATTTTGTTTGGAATGCCTAATACGTCGGACTTTGGACTTTATCGAGCGACTATTTATTTCTACCTATTTTATATTCAGCTACTTTTTTATTTTTGTATGTTCCTTCCACCTAAGCCTGACATTTATGTTCAATTCTAGTTTTTTTTTGGGTCTTGATCTTGCTTCAAGACGATATTTTGTCAGTTGCTTTTTGAAGTATCATTGTGGTTTCTTCAGTAGTGTACCCTTATGCTAATATAGCAGTATCATCGCCAAATGTGGCTATATTAGTAAGTCTATTTTTGGTTTTTCATTATTGAAAATTAAGTAAAAAACTGGTCTAGTACGCTTTCCTGTACGACCCCTGCCATGATTTCTCTTATCGTGAATACTGTTCTTGTTTGATTTTAAAAGTTTTTCCAGTGTGTATGATTTCATAATTTCTACAATCTGTTTGTGGAAAGTGTTTTGTTTTTTATGTAACAAACCTTCATACCACAGCTTGTCAAAAGCTTGAGTTATGTCATAGAAAATCTCCTGTCATAGTTTTTATCTTCAAAAACCCTTTCTATATCTGTGATTCTGGACACCCGATCAATTGTTAAATGTTTTTCTCTGAATCCGAACTGGTGTTCAGGAATTAAATATTTTCTCTATAAGATCGGTTTCATCCTTTTTAGTAGTATTTTAAGAGAATAGGTGAAAGTAAAATGGGCATATATGAAACTACTTCATTTTCTGGTTTTCCTGGATTTTGTTTCATAATTATCTCGACCATTTTCCATATGTCTGGCGTATGTTTCAAGCGTATTGCTGCATTTATTGAGTGTGTCAATTTCACTATTCCTTTCCTTGGGATTTTTTTGAGTAATGTCCCTGTTATCAGGTCAAACCCCGGAGCATTTTTGAATAAATATTATCCTTGATCTCCTTATCTATTGTTTGTGGAGTTACAAGAGCTATTTCTTCTGTATCGTCTATTTCAAAGTCCAAATCAACTTCTTGTGAATCATTGTTGAAATATTTCTTTCAAGTGGTTAGCAAAAGCATCCGCCTTTTGTGCGTTACTTTTCGCTCATGTTCCATTTCTGTTCTTATTTGTGGTTTATGCATAGTTGGACCTTCTTATTTTTTAGAAATCGTTTGTTTCTTTCTCAGTGGTCAATTCTATAAAATATTTATTATTTTTTATTTCCATGTTTTCTCTTTTATATTTTTTGTGTTAGGTTATACAGAATGTTTTTATCAGTTGGTATTTTCTACATGAAACCCGTTGTGAGATAGTTTTATGACATGGGTATGCGAAGAATTCAACGGGTATTATGTAGAAAAATAGAAGAAACTCCAAGCTTTCCAACAATGTTTAATGCATTTCAAATAAACGAGGTTTTCTTTGTAAAACAAAATTGGAGAGGTTATTTTATGGACAACCCCACCTATGTGCTTATATTTTCCTTATGCTAATATTTGTTACAAATTTGACATCTGAAAGAAAAAAAGATTTTTTTTATCTCGTCTAAATTTGTAAAGTTCATTTCCCAATTATGATCAAATGAAAATAATTATGAACATTTGGGTTATTCACCATTTTTTTTTTATCTCATAATGAGATTTAATTTTTATATAATTAGTATTTTTAATTTTTTGTTACGTTTCATTTGTTTTGTAATTATACATAAATATTTTTATCCTTGAACGTTCTAATATTAGTTTTTTTTATTCATCAAAATGTTGAGTTATGTAGCAATATAAAATTTTTCCATTATACCGTCTTTTATTTTTGTCCTATATTAAAAAAAATCTTTATATAGGGAGAGCCAACTGAGTATTTTCTGTTTCGTGACGTTTGGGGTTGCAAAGCTGTATCGTAGAAGATGTTGGACTTATCAAAAAGGAAAGTATTCATTGTTCTTATAATTTTTGATTAAAACATTTATTTTAATGAGATTATACTTATACTGTATCCGGTTTCACAGATAAAATTCTTCACAAAATGAGGGGTAGTGTTGAATCCTGAAATATGTAGCAGCCATCCAGCTACTTCATACACATTTATTTTTATTAACTTTTATTTATTTTAATTTATTTTAATTTATTTTAATTTATTTTAATTTATTTTTAATTTATTTTAATTTATTTTAATTTATTTTAAATTATTTTAAATTATTTTAAATTATTTTAATTTATTTTAATTTATTTTAATTTATTTTAATTTATTTTAATTTATTTTAATTTATTTTAATTTATTTTAATTTATTTTAATTTATTTTAATTTATTTTAATTTATTTTAATTAATTTATTTTAATTTATTTATTTTAATTTACTTTTATTTACTTTTATTTATTTTTACTTATTTTTATTTATTTAAATTTATTTTTATTTATTTTTATTTAATTTTATTTATTTTTATTTATTTTTATTTATTTTTATTTATTTTTATTTATTTTTATTTATTTTTATTTATTTTTATTTATTTTTATTTATTTTTATTTATTTTTATTTATTTTTATTTATCTTTATTTATTTTTACAACTTTTCACCTCACCCCATCCCCATTTCCCTTCTTAAAAATGTGAAAATCTAAAACCCTGAAGCACTCCATATAAAAACAGCAAATTTATTTGTTTTCCCCATGTTTATTTTAATTTTTCAAATATGACAAATTAGTAAGTATCGTATGGTGGTCTTCCATAACCTTTGTACATTTTCCTCCAGAAGTTAATTTTGTTTGAATTTGGTTGACTAATAACTTTCAAATCTGTGTTGATTTCAAGATATTTCAATTGATCTGAACCATTATTTGCTGGCCATACTATATGTTGAAGTAAAGCTTCTTTCTTAGGAGTTGGATTACCGGTTTTGGCAAAGTTTGTCCAGAGTTGTACCATTCGGTTTCTTGTTATGTAATCTGCATCTGATCCTTTGTGACCAAAATCGAAGAGGTAACCTAAATCTTCTGTATGTCCAACACCTTAAAAAAAGCACATTATAACAAAGCTTAAGTTTATTTAAAAAACAGTTTTATTTTTTTTAGATCTTACCATCAACAGTTCTGTTGACTCTACCCCACAATGGTCCTTGATAAGCGAAGTGGTATGAGTATACTTTTGTTTTTTGTGAATATAGACGGATAGCCTCTTGAATTGGTCTTTCAAAAACTGAATCAGCAACGAACTGGAAGAAATAATTCAAAATTTTCGCTTAAATTTTATATTCCGCAACAACAAAAACGTGTTTCCTTATGTTTAGTGTAAAATGTAAAGACGAATTTGCTTATTTGTTTTTATTTTTCTGTTTATATCACTCGGAATTTAATAATTTTTCCTACACTTTTAGTTGATTAATAATCGATAATCATAGAGCATTAATGCCCTAAAGATCTAGTAGCCAAGTTTGTCACGTTTGTCATTGCTTCTGTACTGTGACTGCAAATTATTGAACTGTCATATTTTATTAATTCGTGATATAATATATTGAATAAAACTTTTAATATCGGGACTATGGATTGTGTCAAATTAATTTTTGACAACATGTTTCTTGCATTATCTTATTCGATTATTATGGATAGTCCCAAAACCTCTTGTTGCATTATATATTATTAACTCAGACAACACCCCAAATCCCAGAGATATCCACAGAATGTATTTTGTGGATATCCAATATATCCAGTGGATCTAATATGGTTATCCAAATGTCCGTCTATATCCCAGGATATAGAAGATATTCGGATATTCAGCAAAATATTTTATGGGTATCTTTAGTAGAGGTTCATAAGTAACCAATGATTATTGAATAACGTCGAAAGAAAATAGCAGAGATAAAAAATATTTTCAACACTCAAAATATTTTCAACACTCTGCCTTTGATTTTGCCCGTTAAGGAGAAAGTCATCCTTATTAGGACTCTTCAGCAATAAATAGAAATTCTCCATTCCAGTCTCTAATGGAGTCTGATTGCGATACCAATTTCGATCGAACTCAATTACGGCGGGTTGAGCATGAATAGATATTCAACGAGCGAAAGTGGTATCGCCATCTATACTTAGTAAGCAAAATCAAAGGTCGCTGTAGTACCTAGTTCAGAGACTAGGTGGAATAAAAGCCAGGCGGGCTATTCTTAAAAAAGGAAATAGTTCTAGTCCTAATAAAGACGAAACCGGTCCAAGAATGACTTTTCTTAGTGGGGAAAATCAAAAATTACATCTAGTGGATATCCACCATGGTTTGCGTTCGCGCCTAGACTTTGATATATTTAGTGGATGTCCATGGGAAATTGATACACCTTAAAAAAATTAATTTTAAATATTTGAACGGTGCTATTAGCCACAATGGCGGGCACAATGGCGTAATTTTTTAATAATTTGCTATATAATTACTATTATTTATGGATATTTGCATGTCTATAAATTACATCTCATGGATATAAAATAAGATATCCACCATGGACTGGACATTCCGTGGATATTGGGATGTCCAGTAGATATTCAAAGGATTTGGTATGCTGTCTGGGAATATTTATTATATATTATTAATAATTTAATTCTTATTAAAAAATAATTCACTTTTTCACTTAATTTGAAATAAAATATAATCCCGTTTCGTTTAACCAAATTTACATGTCCTAATTGATCAGTGAGCTCCAGTTGGGCGGAGCGCAAGGTCTGAAACCTGGTTCTTTTCAAGGCGGAGCAGGTACATAGAATGTGCTCTGTAGATTCATCTTCCAAGAATGTGGTGATAATTAATTTCACTTAACAATCCCATTTTGTCCCACCGCAGTTCTTCCTTGCATTGACTACCCAATATCAGGAGTCTGTAGGAAACCATCCTGGCCTACCTTTCTAGTAAATGTGGAGAGGGGGGGGGGGTAGAAGTCCACCAAATGGTCACTTCCAAAAATGGGGCAAGATATACTCGTTATTGGCCTGCAGCTGACGAGCTGAGACGTAGGCCTTATTGAGCCGAAAAGCAGACTTTGTATACTCCTGGAGGATACACAATAGGCTTAGTAATGTGGGGTAACCCATATGCCCCCATCTTACAGATACAGAACATCTATTTTTTGAGATATATGTAACCTCGTTGTTGGAAATACATTCAACATATTTCAAATACAAAAAATAATTGCACCCCCTCTCCGAAATAATTATTAGAGTTTCATGAAAACGACAGTTTGAATTTAAAACCAGTTACAATTTCTGACGAAATTAAGCCTTTCCGCGAGAAAACACGTATTCAAACGCCTAGAAAAAACCAGAGGGAGAAAAAGCATACCCAACCAGTTCTCTGGTAGAAGCTACTACAGACTGTTCTTAACATGTAAAAAACTCGAGGCAGCCATGCCATGCTTCTAGGCAATTTCTGTAGCGTTATTTAAACGTAGTAACCTACCAAATGAATAATTTTTTACCTAGTAAGTTTTGAAACTTAATGTAAATGTTGGGTTCTAATTAACAGTGCTGTTCCTAAAAGTGGCGCTGGGAAACAGTAACAAAGCCTACACAGAACACGAGGCTAATGACCTTAGCAGTCGATGCCGATGACACCAAATAAAAAAAAAATAAATGTTCTTTGTGATATTCATTGTTACCTGTAATAATTTGTGATACTAAGTCCTATTAAAGTAATGTGTGAACTTTAAAAAAATTGTATTAAACGTAAATGAGGCCACAAAAATCACTTTATATTATAAAATATAAAAATAACTTACTCTCATCGTTCTCTTGCTAGAAAATGCAATGGGAGCAATGCCAAAATATTTGTACTTAATTCTAATTCCCAACAATAGTCTTGTAATTAGACCTCTAGCATTTAAGTCTTCAGGAACTAATAGTGACTGATTAAGATCGAATTTTGCAAGCCAAAGTCTGATTAGTGCTAAAAATTAAATCATTATTTACTTTTGTATATTATGTCGAAGACTACAGAAAGAGATCTAATTAAGTAATTTTTTACCAGGTAGACTGTCAAAGTATCCTTCCAAAGAGGTATATCCCATCAGTATAGGCACATGGTGGAACTGTCCATTACTTAACCTCTCATGAGATCGTCCATTAATAACAGCACTTTTGTGATCTGGTTCTGCGACAGGTGCAAAAGCAATACCTTGGAGAGGATTCTTTGCTATTAATTCCTAAAAAAATCAGTTGTTATTTATTTAGTCTACATAAAAATATATGTTTTCAAAATTAACATTTAATTCAAAACAAAAACTTAGACAAGTTCAGTTTTTCGACTTACAGATGCCATTTTCGAATTAGCTACATTCTGCAACTCTTCAATATTAATTTTTTTTAACCCAGCTAATATTTGTTTAGAACTTTTAGTACTAATTTTTAGTTTTTTGGCAATTGCTTTGGTAACTTGCGGTGTCCTCTTTGCCAATGCCCAGGTGCTAAGGGATGATCCAGAGTTGAGAATAGCTTTACTGAAGAGTCCTTAAAATGAAAAATAATTTTAATTTAGTAAATTAATTCTCCGAAATGCAACATTTAAATAAAAAAAAAACCTTTAGTTTCCTCAATTTGTAACAAATAAGCAACAGAAGCAGCGCCCGCACTTTGGCCAAAAATGGTAATGTTATCTGGATCACCACCAAAGTTTTTGATGTTCTTTTTAATCCACTTCAAAGCCATTATTTGATCTCTTATTCCATTATTTCCTGGAGCAACAGTGTCTCCTAACGACAAGAAACCTAGTAAACCAACTCTGTAGTGAATAGCGACAATGATAACATCTTGATCGAGAAGGTAGTCGGGGCTGTGATCATCAAAATCAGCAGATCCTGCGAAGAAAGCACCTCCATAGATCCAGACTAAAACTGGAAGGTTGTTCTTTGGGTTTGGTTTCTACAAAAAAATTGAAAATCAATAAATAACAAGAGGTATAGTATAGACCAGAATTATTTTATGGTATTTCACAATTAGATTTCAGAATTACTATTAATAATAATAATAATAATAATCGTCTTTATTTCCATTAATTTAAAGTAAATACAATAAAATAATACATATATACACGGGCGAAGTTTATTTTTGGTTGTGCACTAGACACAACAAAAAATATTCTTCCACTTAACCCGCGAGTAAACCTACATATAACCATAGAGAAATAGAGCAGAAATAAACAATCAAAGACAAAATATATATACCATATAACTATATCAAATAAATAAACAACTGTAATTTTAACATTTAACAAACAAATGAAAATGCACTTGTCTCAGGAAGGCCGAATCCAATGAAAAAAAAAAAAAAAACATAACTAAGTAGGGCAAAAAAATATCAAAAACAACGACCAATGAAAGGGGGAAGTACAAATACGTAGCGCTAAACAAATATGTGTATGGTCAATAACTTTTGAGGAGATATTGTTTTTAGTTATATTTTGTTTAGCTGTATAAAAATTTTTTTCTTCCAGGGTAGATTTAAGGATAAAGCTCGGGTCGAGGCTTTGGCCGTCGGGGGCATGTCACGCTAAACAAATATCACCCTATATATCAAATATACATTTTCTATTTTAATATACATTCGTTAAGTTAAATAATTTTCATAATATTTTATATAATATTTTGATAAACATTAGATGCAATTCATAAGTACGTCCTTAATAAAAGTAAATATAACATTAAACTAGACACGTACTGACCCTAGTCAATTAATATAAAAATCAAATAAGTCAACAATAATGATACTCTTGGTCGGGGTCTCATCCGAGACTTTTGGCCGGAGTCTCATCCAATACTCTTAGTTTGAGTCTCATCATTGTATCTCATCCCAGCAAAGAAGTGACGTGACGTGCCCTCGTCGCCCAGTTAGATGTATAGCCCATGGTAAGGCCCATATTGTATTATTAATATTATTATTGTATATTGCGTATTGATTACTATTACTGATAAATAAATTGTTAATCATTGTTCTCGTAATCTTTTATTTCTCCAAGTCAGGTAGCACATAGAGTCATTATTTAAAGTGACTCAATCACGACAAATAGGCTCGTGACATTATATCTTTATATAATTCACAAAGAAAGCAAGTTGTCAAATTGTAATTTATTATTGACCGACCCTTCTTTAAAAACCAGCCTATTTACCTAATACGCTTGAATTAATTTATACTTGGCAACTATGTGCCTGTCTCAACCCACCAAGGGTATTGCTTATTAGCTGATGGTCAATTTGTATTTGTTGTTTACTAGTTAATGTGGACTGTTGGAAGTTTTCTATCCTTATATGGTATACTAAAGGATAGTACTCGATTTTACGCAAGGTTTTCGTTTATTATATTGGTTTAATTTAATTATTTTATTTTTGTATTTATAATGGCTTTTTAGAGCCCATCTAAAAGTGATGGAGTGGAAATTATATTGTCACAGAAAGTATTTTACTATTGTTTATTCTCGAAATATTTTTTCGAATATATAATTATGTATATATGTACTTATGTATATAATTAGGGTGCCCATCGGGAAAAATGTTTCTGATACCTACTCTCGCCAAACTTCGTGTATGGCTTCATTATACTTTTTCTTTGTCTTTATCTCTGTCGGTTATGAGCAGGTAGGGTTAGGTTTGGCCCAGAACACTGCGGCCTCTTGGGTCTATTGTATTCCCTTGCTTTCCTCGTATGCAGGTACTATCTTTGGAATAGTCCTGTGTCTTTGGTTAGTTTTAATAAGTTTCCTACCAAGTGTTCCTGGGGCGTTCTTTCCGGTTCTAGGCCGAAAAGGATGAAATGTTGCCTAGTAAGAGCCTCGCATTTGAAGATCACATGGTATGAGGTTTTTGTCTTCCATGCAGAGTCTAGACGTAGTGGGATCATTGTGTAATCCCATTACATGGAGGTATTTCAGCACGCAGTGTCCTGTTAGTAATCCCGCAATGGTGAATATCTGAGGCCTTGCGAGTTGTAGTGCCTCAGTAATCATGCGTGGGTTTGGTCCGTTTAATGCGCAAATTTTTTAAAACATCGATGTTGACATCAAATGATATATCGAATACAGACTATCGATGAATTAAAAAAAAATCTGAAAAAAAATATTGATGTGTCTGTAAACATCGATGTTTTCCAAAAGCGTTCATTGAAGAGCAAAAAAAAACAAGAAAAAGGAATTCAATCCATCAAATGAAACGTGACGCTTAACAAAAAAACCAAAAAACATTGAAAAGAAAATCATCGATGTTAATTAAAAAATCGATGTTAGCAAATAACATCGGATAAAAAAAACTCGATGTTAACTAATAACATCGGATTAAAAAAACATCGATGTTGAACATCGGTAATCGAAACCTAAAAATCGATGTTTTTTAAACATCCATATATCGTGCGCATCCTTACTTTAGCATGAGCTTACTGATTATGTGCGCTCTTATCTGTTGCCAGTGAATTTGGTGTTTTGTGGTTATTCACCTGTTCACTGCCTGTCGACAGAGGTTCTGCTTATCCCAAATACAGGTTCGGGTCCTGTGAATGATAGTTCTGATCCCTCTTTGGCGAGTTCATCAGCCTTTTCATTTCCTTGGGTACATGTGTACTCTGGTACCCATACTAGTTTTATCTTGTGGGTTGCCAGATCATTTAGTATTCCAAGGCAGTTCCAGACAAGCTTTGACTTGAATCTGTTTTAATAGCCTTTAAGGCTGCTTGGCTATCGGAGAGAATTAGGATGGTTTGTTTTTATACTTCCTTCTTAAATTCTCGTACACACAATTCGATTGCATGTATTTCGGCCTGAATTGTAGGGATATGTTTTCACAGTGAGACGATGATGTCGCATTTGGGTTTAACTCCATGTACGCCAGAGCCTGTTCCCTTGTTAGTTTTAGATCCATCCGTATGCCATACGAGACCGTTAAGTAAGTATTTCGCTACCTCTTTATTTACGTCCTTCCAGTTGCAGTTGACCTGGAAAAGTCTCTTGAAAATTAGGCGGGATTTCATATGATCTGATCCCATGTTCAATATAGGATCATTTACTACATGTTTTAAATGTCCCAGTGGGTTCCAGTTGGAGATGTCTAGTCTGTATGCATTCATTCTGACCTCCCCCTTTATGACTAGGTCAAGGGGTGGGAGGTTTAGAATGATTTCCATAGAGGCTGTCGGTGTACTTCTCAGTGTAATAGAAATACATGCCAACCTCTAAATTTCTGAGAGGGTATTTTTGTGATACATACTCTCTGTGACGTTTTTGTTTTTGGGGCGTTTTTCCACTAAGTTTCCCGAAACGCATCGTTTTTACGACATATAAAAAATTTATAGATACTTTCCGGTTAAAAGAGGGCGTCTGGTCACTCTATATAGATGTTAACATCCTTGGAGCTATAGAAACCTAGAAAATCGCGAAAAACTGATTTTTTGACCTTGAATAACTTACGATGCAAGACGAGATTTTATCAGATTTCTGAGACTTTAAGAATGCCAAAATAAAGGTGTATACGAGTTGGATTAATACTTTTTTTCAAGATCCCCATTACCTCAAAGTTTATATTGCGCATTTCCTTTTCGCAAAAAATTTGAAATTATCAGAAACTGTATTTTTCAGGGGTAATACCGGACATGTCACGAAAACACGTTCATAAGCTAGGAACGCCTTATCGCCGCAGTTATTTCCAAGAAAACATGGAAAGGGCATTATTGGCAGTGACAATTAAACGAGCACTAATCATTCATTTTTTATTTTTTGAAGTTTCTGCAATAATTTGTCAGATAAAGGTTTCTGACCAATCCTGTACTGAATTCGAGAGACGCTAAAATGGTGGTTCCTACCTTATCTAGACTGAGGCCCACAAGGGTAAACTCGTAGCGTAACAAAAAAGAGAAATTATTTAACTTGGAACGAAAGACCGAAAGCCGATAGTAGTATTAGGACGTTGAATTTTTTGTTTTGTGAAGCATTGGCATTACTTAGGTTAAACCATGTGATAATTTTCACAAGCCTTGATTTTTAAAACTATTCTATATCGCCTTTTTATTAGGGTTTAAAAACTTGTTCGAGCAATTTATCTAATATTAATTGCCTATTTACCTCTTAAGCCTGCTCATGTAAAATATTTGGGCTCGATACTTCGCCTATTTATATTCTATTAATAAAAGACAGAAGGATGAGTATTTTAACTATGTTAAAAGACATAAATTGGCTTTCAGTTCAGAATTATGTTCAGTACATGACTGATATTTATTTATAAAATAAAAATGACAGTACCATCGCATCAGATCTATTAGAAAAAATTCAATATAATTCGCAATATCACAATTATAATACAAGAAGCCAATCTGACTTTCATGTAGGCATGCCATCACTAAAAGTTCCCAAAATACAATTTTTATTAAAGGTTTTATAAATTGAATAGACTGCCTACAGAAATAAAAAAAAAATAATAAGTGTATTCAAAACTAACCTCAAACAATACTTGATAAATAAACAGAACAGATATACTTTCTTGTGATAATACTCTTTAAACCTGCCCTTTTTAAGTATTTCCCTTAATTTATTGTTATTTTACCACTCGTTTTACCTAGTTTTACTACTTACTATGTTTAAATTATTAATAGTTTTGCGACGATAGGTTATAGCAACTTATAGCCACAAAACTATTTTTGTGTTAAAGTAGATCCATAGAAATAGTTTATTGACCACTTGCAATACAAATGCTGCGTTTGAGAATCCACATCGGATGCATTTTTTACATCTCGAGCGTTTTTTTATCCACATCGGACACATCTGTCCCATTACATTTACGTATACTGAATCACGTGATCAAAGATTTTTTACATCTCAGATGCATCCGATGTGGATTCTCAAACGCGGCAAAAATAGTACATTTGAGTCATAAATTACAATTTACTATATGTCACAATGTCATAAATCCTTCGAGCATAATGCTCGAAGCATAAATCACATTCATGTAAAATCAAAACATTACAGTTTAAAATAAAATTTACAGTCAATTAAAAATATACAATAATTTAAAAACCTAAAATTTAAATTTTACAGTCAATTAAAAATATACAATTTAAAAACCCTTTTCTTTAGGGAAAATACCGCTGATATTTAAAATACATACCCTTATATCGAAAAACTTAGGCTTTCTATCATACATGATGCCATAAAAACGATCAGTATTTCAAATTGTACTAAATTGTCCTTGATTTGACTTAAAATGTACTTTTGTACTTTGCCGTGAGAAATGTACTAAATTTAGTACAATTGTAATGAAACGGCAGCCCTGGTTTTAAGGGAATTTATTTTCCGATGAATAGCCAGCAAACATTCAAGGATATACACGCACGGTAGCGGAAGAATCCCGAGTAACTCAAAGATTGGCCTACACGTTTCATTGTATCCTGCATTCACTATAATGCGCACAGCTGTTTTTTGTAGTACAAACACTTTTTGAGCAAATGATGCTCCACCCCATAGAATCAGACCATATTTTAAATGACTATGGATGATGGCAAAATAGACCGTTCTTAAAATATTAGAATTTAGGCAATTTCTCATTTGGTTAAGGGCAAAAATTTGAACAAACACTGTCAATATGAGCCGACCAGTTTAACGATGCATCTAGGGTTATGCCCAAAAGTTTTACCGGTTCAGATTTTTCTACCAGTTTACTAGATGTAAATAAAATATTTTGAGTTTTGTTCTCGTTAAGCTTAAGTTTATTGCAGCAAAACCAAGTTTTTGTAGCTTTTAGAGAGCTGTAGTTGTAGAGAGCACTGTAATTTACAAAGGCCTTTTTTCAACATACAAATAAATGACAACTTTATAATTAAAATGAAAAACACAACAAAATACCTCGGTATCATAATTGATCAAAATTTGAAATGGGTTCATTTTTAAATGTTATGAATTGATGAAATTTATGACTAGGAGTTTACTAATTATTATTTACAATTTGCTGGTTGAATATGTAATCCAAAATCGTATAATTAAAATTATCTATAAAAAACAGCATTATATCCTACCTCTCTTTTATATAATAAAAAAGTGATTTGTTTAAGAACATTATATTATCTGTCTTGCTGTACCTTTATTTATGGAACGCCTGAATTGAGATACACTACAAATTATTTGCAATAAATATCAAAAGAAGCGTACATTTTTAAATAATTTGACATTTAAGAGCTATTCACACATTTCAGTTGACATCTTGATACTTGACAGGCACAGCCAAGCATTATTCTGATTTTTTCCAAATAAAATGTCCGGTTAATTATTCTATGGGGTTGCGACAGAGAGCCAGTAAATTTGATGAAGGTGTTTTTGTAGCTAGGGTCGAAATAGTAGTAAGCTTAAGTTAGCACCAACATATAAAAATTAATTTTTAAGAAACTGCTTGCATATTTTTCATAAATTGGCAGGCTTGGCGATTAATTTCGAATAAAAATAGCCTCCAAACTGGATAAGGTAGCAAGTATGAAGGTCGCAACCCGCTGTTGTTTGACAGGTCGTTAGAGAATGTTTGTAATTTATGGAATGTTAAGAATGTTAGGAATGTTGACGTTAGAAATAATTGAAATTTCTAAAATTGTCACATAAGAAATAGATAGGCGGATTTTAAGAAAATTGATATTAAAGTAGTTAGGATGAACCGAAAATTCTGAAAATCAATAGGGTTCTAAATTAGAAGTAATTATTCAAGAAAATCAAAACCGTAAGTTAATTAGAACTTTCGTTCTAGAGTTATCGTGCTGGCATACATACATACAGATGACTAGACGATAATTTTTTTGCATTTTCGGACTCGGAATGATCGGAAACATAAAAAAAAGTTTTAAAAAATGGGGGTGAGAACTTTTTTCGTTTACACGAATGCAATACTAAGGCCACATAGGAAGGGTCTCAGTAATATCAGGCTCAAAACTTACTTTTTCAATATAAAAATTGAATCGTCCGGTATTACCCCAAACATCGGGATATATCGGTCGAACTAAAAAAAAATAAATAAACCGTGATAGCCTTTATAGGATTTATTTATGTACATTGTACATTGTATTTAGTAGGTTAACTTCTTACCATAGAATGCATTAGTTAGCTTTAATTTCGTATAACAAAAGAATTAATTAAAAATATTGTTCCGATATAACCCCGGTTGACGGTATGAATGGGGTGTTGATACACTGCGACTTAAAAGATCTATTGTGTCCCTTTAGGTCCCACCAGGGAGGTATTTGGCAAGGAAATAGTTTTAGATGCCAAACTATTTTTTTCTTCAATTTGCAGTGTTCCTTTATAATTGACAATGTTTAATACAATAATTATATTGAAATAAAATCTAAATAAAACCTATATTCCTTAAGTCACATCAAAAGTTAATAACAATCTAACAGTAAAGAACAATCTTACCTTATCGGTGTAAACTTTGAGATATAAACAATCTTCGCTTCCTACTGGAGGATTTGCCCCTTGAACACATACAGGTTGTTTCTTCCTTACATCCAATATTCCTGTCCAATTTTTTTTCGCCACTGGTGCCTGGCAAATCAAATGGTATTATTATTATTATTAGGTATTATTATTATTATTATTATTATTATTATTATTATTATTATTATTATTATTGCTACTATTATACGTTAAAAAATAAAAAAATACGTGTGGCACTCGGGGACTGCCGCGGTAAAGCTATTGCATAGCATTTTTATCAACTTATGCAATTATAATTATTTATTTATTTTATTTATGCAGTATTTTTTTTTCTCTGATATTAATTCAAGTTTTTTCTTTGATATTAATTCAAGTTACATTTTTTGAGACTTGATATCCTCTAAATATCTGGAAAATACCGCGTCAATGGTGGTCCCATGTTTTGTTGTGGATTCTTGTGGATCATTATTCATTTTCAAATTCAATTTTTCCGAAATTGTGTCTAAAAGGGATAGAATCAGTTATGAGCAGTTAGCAGCTAGTCTACACGCATACGTCTAGTCGCACGCACACAAACACCGTGCCGAAGTCTGCCGAACTGAAACGACGTTAGACGATGCACGGCTTTCAACGCCTCACCGCTGTGCCGGTCGGAGTGGGAGTGTTAGGTTTATTTTCGTTACGGAATTTATTTTTCTATTTTTTGATTTTTCGATTTTTTGATTTTTTGATTTTTTGATTTTTTGATTTTTTGATTTTTTGATTTTTTGATTTTTTGATTTTTCGATTTTTCTATTTTTCGATTTTTCGATTTTTCGATTTTTCGATTTTTCGATTTTTCGATTTTTCGATTTTTCGATTTTTCGGTTTTTCGATTTTTCGATTTTTCGATTTTTCGATGTTTCGATTTTTCGATTTTTCGAATTTCTTTTATTGAATAAATGAGAAGTTAATATTGTTTAACGCCGCACCGCTGTGCCGGTCGAAGTGGGGATGTTAGGTTTTTTTTTCGTTACGGTGTTACGGAATTTCTTGATTCGGTCGCCGCGCTCAAAGTCCGCGATAAAAGCTATGCAATACCTTAAAATTCCTTGGCAATTAAAAATAACTAAATTAATTGAAAAACTTACTTCAAACCTTAAATCACCAACAGGCGGTTCCGCAAACGGTATTCCTCTAAACCAGTAAAGAAGTTTTCGGTCACCAGTACTTCTCTGTCCATAAGATCCCTTAACCACTCCATTCGAAGTTTGCACCAAAATTGAGCTATCTTCGTAAGAGCTACAAAGAGCAACTCCAAGTAGGACCAAAACTAATACGTTATAAGTCAACATTATTTACTGGTATTAATTGTATTTCAGCAATTGCTATTTATATTTTTTACGAATAAAAGGATTATCTTTTCAAAAAGTGTTAGATTAAAGGATAAGATTAGAAACTGGAGAGATGTGACAAGGGTCAAAATATACCAAACAACATAATGTTAGTAATTATATGATTGAAATTTTTATATTGATATCAGGTATCAGTTTAACAAACAAGAGGTGTGCAAAAAAACAATCTAGTGATTAATCAACTAACTTTATAAATCAATAATCCTCCTTAGAATAGTAGTTTTTGCAACAAGAATGGATATGATGGCCATATCGCACGAAGACGAAATTTGAGCATGACGCGTAGGCGGAGTGCTTAATAGTCTGAGTGCGATGTGGACAATTGCTGAATACCATGGACATACTGTATTGATTTTTTCCTTATTTTTGTATTTTTAATAGGATGTAAAACCACATACTTTAGTGGCGTTTATCTTATCGTTCATCAATTAAATTAAAATTTCTTAATTTTGCAGTATTGACGATTAATTTTAATTATTTTATTCTAGAACCGAGCGGCTGGCGAGAAAAATACAAGATGCCGTATTGATGTAGAATTGACCAGGCTAATGAGTAAAAATATCAACATGGAAAAATATCAGTAGCGTACTACTTTTTTTGTAGAAACTATCAGATGACATGCTTGCAGAGAGGCCACTGGTAGAGCAATAAAATAAATTTCTTAACTTAAATATGTGGTTTTATATCCTATTAACAAATGCCAAAATTGAAAATTATATCTAAACTATTTTCAGAGATATTAAAAAATATCTCTTTACTAAACAAATTTTCAACTCCCTGTAGCAAAAAATTGAAGCCGTTGCGGATAAATGTTCACATGAACTTTTCTTTATAGAGTGACCTGAGAAATCACACCCTACAATATTAGAATACCATTAAAAAACACCCTGTATAAATTGTAAAAACAAGGAAGCCATTTTGAATTTTTAAAAAGTAATTCATGATCTATTATCTTTGATCAGATAACAATTTTATCAGGAATTAATTTTAGTCGAAATCTGCTGACTTTTAAAAATAAATGTTTTTTTTAATTGCTCACCCTGTATATATCTGACCAGAAGTATAACCGGTTTTGAGCCAAGAGAAATCCTTACCTGTAAACAAAATTTGAATTTTTTCTCTCAAGTCGTTTTTGAGCTACCGCGCCAACAGGCAGACGGCAAATAACAGACCGCGGATGGCAGATAGACCGACGGGGAAAGCATGTTTTTCGTAATCTAGGGACCTGAAAACGTGAAAATCTAAATTTTCACGATTACAATACTTTCCTTTTATCGAGGGAAGTCAAAATAAAATTAGTATACCCATTCTCTTGAATGCCCTCTACTATATGTATTGTATCAGTATCCTTTTCGATTAAAGTATGAGCCCACTGCAAATTTCGATCGTCATCTTATAACGAAACAAAATATGCTCCAAAGGCATGTAACAACATTGTATTTTACCAAATTGTACCTGTGCCAGTCTTCATCCTGAGCAAAGTGGTTCAAAAAAATTATTATTATATCAAAAAATCACATAAGACATGACAGCGACAATTGTGTTTTCCCTGAAAATTACAATGCTAATTCATTGTGAACCTAGCTTTTAAACCTAAATTATTAATATTTTTACCTACCTTTTAAACCATGTTTATGTATGAAAGAAACATTTGCATAGTCAATAATAATTATAAACTCTTGTTAGACAATTATTTTAAACCATAATCATAGTAGTTTTTTTGTCGTTTCTATGGCAACCTGTAAAAATAAATCACAATAGGCATACAAATAAATTTGTAAATCAGCAAACATTGATTCATATTTTTAATGATTTTTACCTACTAATCGTGGATAGATGTTTTTGTGCGATGTTAAGAGGAAGAAAATGTTCCCCTTTAACGATACATATCAAGATATATTTGAATGTTATTTTCTGGAAAACTTTAAGGGCAAACAAAATTAGCGCTGTCATGCCTTATGTGATTTTTTTAATATAAAATAATTTTTTAAAGCCACTTTGCTTGGCACAGGTGCCATTTGGTAAAGTACAATGTTTTTCCATGCTTTTGGGGTATATTTCATTTCGTTATCAAATGACGGTAAACATTTTCAGTGGGCTCTTGGGCTATTAGTTTTTTTGGCTGACTTTAAAGTCACACTATATCTCTTGCTCGTACTATACATGTAGGTATGTATTGTAAACACTTTGGACTAACCTAATAAAATAAAATTTGACAGAAGTTACTAAACGTTGCTTACACGTTATATTTGCGTTCATTTTTACTACGTTAAAAAGTAACTCAATATCCACGTGTATTACACATTAGGTAACGTGGCCTAGTTATATTTGATTAAAGATACTAACCTTGCTTACACGTTGTATTTGGGTTAATATTAACTACGTTAAAAAGTAACTTAATATCCACGTGTATTACACATTAGGTAACGTATCCTGGTAGACTGGGTGTTTAACAATAAAATATGGTGCTGCAAAAATTGTGGAATATAAACTTTTTAAAGCAAATACTTGTGAATCTCTTTCATATCAGAATAGCCCAACTATTAGATTATATTTATTTTAGAATTTTTTTTCTGTGATAAAAAATAAATGTATTTTTTTGTCAGAGGAAAAAAAACAAATTTTCTTCATGATTTATTTTAATAATTCAAATATCCCAAATTAGTTTAATAAGTGGCGTATGGTGGTTTTCCATAACCTTTGTACATATCCCTCCAGAAGTTAATATTGTTTGAATTTGGTAGACTAATAACGCTTAAATTTGTGTTTATTTCAAGATACTTCAAATCATCTGAACCTTCATTTGCTGGCCACACTATATCTTGGAGTAAAGCTTCTTTCGTAGGGGTTGGGTTACCAGTTTTTACAAAGTTTGTCCAGAGTTTTACCATACGGTTTCTTGTTCGGTAATCTGCATCTGATCCTCCGTAACCATAATCGAAGAGGTAACCTAAATCTTCTGCATGTCCAACACCTTAAAAGTATAAAGAAGCACGTTATTATTAAAACCTGTATTAATTTAGATTTTACCGTCAACAGTTCTTTTAACTCTACCCCATAGTGGTCCTTGATAAGCGAAGTAGTATGAGTATACTTTCGTTTTTTGTGAATATAGACGAATAGCCTCTTGAACTGGTCTTTCAAATTGTGAATCGGCAATGAACTGGAACAAATAATTCAAAATGTCCATTTAAATTTTATATTCAGCAACAACAAACACGTGTATTCTTGTGTTTTTATTTTTCTTATAAGGTATAATTATCCTCATTAATTATGAATTAACTTTTTCACTTTTCTTAGGTATTTGAAAAAATGCTACAACTAACTCATCTCGTTCTACCTACGCATTCAAGAAATGCCCCAGGTAGCAAAAGTACGTTTTTATATGTTTTTAACGTTAAGAGGAAAATTTACATTACAAACTAAAAGACCTGCGGGGCAACGGTAGTTTAGTAGGTATAAAAATTACAACTTAAGGGTGGAGCCTAAATACTACAAAATTACTTCCGAGACCAAACAAAATCAGCATTCATTCATAATTTTAACAATTGCATGTAGATACGAGGGATGCATATTCTAAACTTTAACGCGCGAAGTTGAAGACAAAGGAACCGAAAAATATTCCAAATAGCACAAAATAATATTACCTATGTATTTTACAATATAAATATGGTGTAGATTAAAACTTATTTTGGCTGAAGACAAATTTGGTTAAAAAATCTTCTTTTAGAAATATACCTTTCATTTGACGAAAAACGAAGGCCTAAACGAAAAAAAATATTCTTCATAAAAGTTTCGTCTGTGTATTGACAAGGTAATAGTGCTTTCCTTATATTTTTTGCTATGAAATTAACAAAAATATAGCAATAAACAATTACTGATGTCATGGTTTTACAGGAAAGGAAGCAGTCTCTTGACTGTATGCGTCTCTCGGTGTATAGTACCTTTTTTGCATTTGCATGATAAGTTCTGTTATTTCTGGTAGCAGGTCGAGCATAATCTTAAGTGGGTATCAGGCTTCAATCTTGATCTACTTTCCATTCATATTCTTCAACATTAGGAAGCTGCATCTGGGTCTTTAAAGAGCTTAGCCAAATACTTAGCTGGTAAAAACATCTTAAACAATGTAATCTTAGGGCGTCTTCAGTCAATGGCAATTTAGCAATTATTTTAAAGGGGCCATTAATCTCCTCAAAATGTTAATGGAAGTAACATAGGCAGTTTTTGAATACAGTTTTATGAAAAATTTTTCAAGATTAGAGAATGTGTTTTCAGAGTACCTACGAATCAGTGCCAAATCCATCCAAAAGGTGATGGTGTTCAAGGTAGGTTTTCCAACAGGTTCTTTTTCCAATGCCAGATAATTGGTTGGATTTATTAAGACCTGTCACAGAATGAAAAAAAGGCAAATTTTTTAAAAGTTTTTTTATCCTCCTCGCCCTATTATGAACCATATCTCTTTAGTTCAAAACTACTTAAAATAAATTAATAAGACTAGAACATCTGTATCGTTGCAATCAATAATGCAGCGTGAATTCCCCGAATTTCTGGGTGATAATATGTGCAATAAGATACGAGTATCAGCTTCTTCAAGATTTAAATTTAAGAAATCGTCTTTTGATGGTTCAAAATTCATCCCATATTTATTGATACTCGCGAATCCATCACTAGATACAAATTTTCAAGAAGTTGCTCTGACAGAAAATGTGTTAAACGTCTTTTATTAAATATCGAATGAATGAACAAGTTTCATTATTCTGGAAGTGGAATATTGGGTCGGTCAATTTCTATATCAATTGATTTCTGGGATCATCTCTTTTGACGTGTATTTTTGATACAATTTTCTTTATAATGATTAAATACCACATCTATCCTTTGAGCATTAAATTTATTTTTGAAAGTAATCTTTACAAATATATTAGCATATTCTTTAAATGATATGCAACTTTTGTACTTTCCCAAACCTTGAGATATTGCTATCCCATCAAAAATATGACAAGTTTTGCAAGATCACCTAGGTGCAGGTAAGTCTTTGTGGGTCATATTGCTCTAAAATATTTCCCAATAAACTCTTATTTGTAGAGGTGCCGAGATACCCATTTACTGTTAGAGACATGTGAGAGGCTGTCAGATCAAACTTAAATATTTCGGCATAATTACCTAATGCTTTTGTCCATATCCTTTGCTAATAAAATATTATGAAGAAATTGTTGACCATGCAAAGATTAAGAAGTCATATTTTGATATCATTTGTGTCTTTGCTTCTTGCAACAATAAATCCGTAATTAAAATGTTTAACGAAAACTTACCCAACTTACCCAAATATATTCAGGCATTCAGCTATAACAGGATGAATGTAGATGTAATAAAAACCTAAAAAATGTCTATATTTCTTCCCAATTTATTAGGAACTTTAATATGTAACACACTTATTAATTTTTTAGTAAAAACAGACAATATGACACTTTGTCCATTGGCACCTAACGAAAAGTTTTATATTAAAAAAAATGAAAAAAATTTGAGCATATCAATAATGTGATGCATCAGCCGACACGTAGAGAGAAACAGAGCTATACTACGTTTTTCATTAGGGCCTTCCTTTTTGTTAAATGATAAAATTATATTTAAAAAAATGACTTTTTAAACAAATTTTTGAAGGGCTGAAATTTTTTTTAAATAAGTTTAAAAAATTACTCCTTACAAAGATTTTATTGTGCATTGGACCAAAAAATTATTATTTTTTTTATTTGGCGGTATCAGTATCTGGATTTTTGATGATAGTGCCCTTCTGCACAGTTTAATTTTGTGTTACCTCCGGAATAAGGGTTACCTTATCATGACCTTTTATCTCTGAAAAATTCAGCTTGTGACAAAGGGGGGTAAATCGTTTTCTAGAGCGAATATTTTAATACATACACTCTACTAATAATAATTGATTGAGAGTAGAAAAGCGGTTATAGTTTAGCAATACATTCCCTTCTATATCACATAATAATATGTCCTCGATACAAAAAGTCAAAGTAACAAAAACAGGAGGCCAATATAAACAAACAATAAACGGTCTCATGACATTTTAAATTTTTAAATAAACTAGGTTTTTAAAAAATATTTTCTATACCTGTTATTTTTTATATTCAAGCGGATTTATAATATTTAAACTTGGAGTAGCCATGTGTGAGTTAGTTAAATGAAAAGGTACCTTTGGTTTTATAACATGTAGCGATCAGATATAATGTTTCAGCGTATTATTATTATTTATATTTTAACAAAAATTATTTTTATTGTTTAAATAATCTGTTATAATGAGGTACAGCTTCTAGAACAAATTCATAAAAAACCCGTACTGTTAAAATCACCATTTATTTGGCATTCTGTCCCGTAATTCCATGTCTCTATTAGCTCTGCTGTCAACTAGTTCTGGTAAGGCATATTGCATATAATAATTTTGAATTTTATTTTGCACCTTTTCTTCCCAAAAGCTGTCATTATGAGGAATTTCCTCCACTTTTATTTCTCGAGAAGTCCAAACGCACAAAATGCAAAAATTCATTTGTGTAATGTGCAGCTAGCCCTGAATTTGAAAGTACCGATTGTGGTCCCCCTTAATGGTATTATTCTTTTTCCAGAAAGTTATTTTTCTACTGCATAATCCTTTTTCTTCAGTCAACACTCTAGCTTCATATGGACATTTTAACTCTTATCATAGAGTTTTTTGTTTTAAATTCCATCTGGACTGGCAAGAACATAATCAAATTCGGAATCAATAAAAGTCCACATATAAAAACTTTTTCTTGCTAATAAATTTCCAAATCTTATTTTCCTCTGGATTTATTGTCCATGTCATATTAAAAGGCTTTAGCAAAAAATAAAAGATTATGAGATTGTTTAAAAAATGCCTTTCGTTTTTTTTACAAATGTCTTCAAATTTTGAAACAGTGACTCGTTTTCGTCTTACATTTTGCTACAATCCACAATCAGCTTGATCTCTTGTCACATTCATTTTTTTCTCATCTATAGACATTATCAATTATCAAACTTTTTAGAAAATCTTCTTTTGCAACGCGCATCAAAGTGTGTGAGAGATCAAAGCCCACGCTCGAAAGCAAAAAAAAATTATTTATTAAGTTCGAAAAAATATACATTACTTTAACAGCTTAAAGAGTTGTTAACATGCTGGAATTCATTATTCTTAACTCGAAGATGTATTCATTAAAAAAAAATCCCGTGCAATATAAAAGTTAATTTATAATTCAAATCTCATTGTATACCTTTTAATTTCGGATATATTTTTTTAATAAATAAATGATAAAATTAATTTAAAATAATTGAGCGAATTACTGTATGTAAAAATAACAAAGTGTACAGACATAAAAACAATAAATTCAAATCACTTGCGTACGTTTATCACTTGTAAACAGTAGAAAAGGATATTCATTTTGTTGGTGTCGCCCTCTAGACGAAAAAGCTTTTAACGTATTTTTTTAATTTTTATTCAGAAAAATAAATGTTCCTGTAAAAATTAAAAACATATATTGTTCTCTTCTAGCATTTTTATTTATTTATTTTTTTTTTTTTCGATAGAAAGATATCTTCTTACATTTTCTCAAAATAAAACGATTCAAATGTTCAAAAAGTGACTCCTTTACCTGTACTTATATAATTTTTCAAAAAATAAAAAATAATCCGTAAAATTGGTGTACTATGAAACCCATTGCATATTATAATATTATATAAATATGTCTATATTAGTATTACAGAAATGATTTACGTAAAACAATAAGATGTACCTACAAATACGTAAACTTTTCTAAAAAAAATTGAGAAAACGGATCAAAAAAGTCGAGTTTTGTGTTTTTTTTTTTAGAAAAAACAAATTGAAATTTTGAAAAAGTGTTTCCAGAGGAGCACATATTTAACCTTTACCTACAGGCACATATTTTTTTCTTTTAAAATATGTCAAAAATAAACTTTAAAAGTGGGGTACTACGAAACCCTTGCATGCTCTGCTCTAAAGCCAAGTAAATACTCCTCTTAAAAGACTTGAAAATAACGTTTCTTAAACGTTGTGTATTAAACTTTAACATAACCATTAAGAATTGACGTTTTTAAACGTTATTTTTTCGTTAAAATTCCGTATTCATTTACATATGTTACTCGGGAATGTAAAAATAATTATTTACTTTTATATACTTTAAATACCCCGCCATGATCAGGCAAGAGAATATATTATGCAGGTTCGCACGTGCTTGTAATTGACTAACGGCTTAAGTACTTCGTTGTTTGTCGTTTTTAAAAATAAAACACATAGGATTTACTTGTACACTATTTTAAAAACTGTTCAAAATGTTGTCAATTGTACTGTAAACAATAATAAAGTCTGTTCCTAAAGTTTCGGAAAAATTAATCGGGAATTGACCAGCATGCTGCTGTAATTCGCCTTTTAAGATCATCAATATCAGCAGGTGTCCCCAAAGAAAAAAGTCCAAGGGAGTTAAATCAGGTGACCATTCAATTGCCCCCCTTCTGCCAATACAAATGTCTGGGAATATGTCGTTTAACCACTTTCGGACGGGAAGAAAAAAATCACTGTATAATATTTTTATATATGCTGTCGGCGAACTAGCGAGATTAAGACCAAAACGTTAATATTAAACATAAAATGAACTTACTCTCATTAGTGTCTTGTTAGAAAGTGCAACGGAATTATTGCCAAAGTATTTGGTCTTAATTCTAGTTCCCAATAAATGTCTTATAACTGAACTACTAACATTCAAGTCTTCAGGAACTAATAGTGAGACAAGTAGGTCGTATTTTGCCATCCAAAGTCTCAATAGTGCTAAAATTAAATTGTTATTTATTTACGTGTATACATCGTGAAGAGTACAGAAAGAATATGGTATCTAGTAAATATAATAAGAATATAGTAATTTTCCTTACCGGGTAGACTGTCAAAATAGCCTTCCAAAGAGTTGTATCCCATCAGTATAGGCACGTGGTGAAACTGTCCATTAATTAACCTTTCATGAGATCGTCCAGTAATAATAGCTTTCTCGTGATCTGGTTCTGTAACTGGCGCAAAAGCAAGACCTTGGAAAGGGTTTATTGCTATTAATTCCTATAAAAATTAGAGGTTATTTATATAGCCTACGTAATATTAAATATTTCGAAAATTAACAATCTGATGTGTCTCCTACACAAGACAAAGTTATATAGGCTTTTTCCGTTTATTCTCTACAACCTATTATATCACTCGTGTGAATTATGTTTAGAGGATAATGCACGACCGGGCGATGTATTTGTATACATTATAATATTTATTTTTTGAATAAAGTCGCTTATTAGTATTATTATTAATATTATTATTATTATTATTATTATTATTATTATTATTATTATTATTATTATTATTTTTTTTTTTTGAGCATCGACTGCTAGGGTCATTAGCTCTTAAGTTATATTAGATTTTTTTTTTTTTATGTGGTCAGATTTTGAAATAAAGTTCATTCTTTTTTAGAAAGTCAAGAGTCTTCAGCTGTTCTACCGTGGTAGAAGTACAGGTGGTCATATCATTGGCCAATCCAGCTTGTTGACGGTTACATGTATCGCGTCTACATTCCAACAAAAAATGTTTAACGGTCTGTTGTATACCACATTCACAAACAGGTGGGATTCTGCCTAGAAGTAAATATGAAGATGTTAAGTGAGTGTGGCCTATTCTGATTCTCGTCATTACGACCTGGTCTTTTCTTCTTGGTAGTGCATATAGGGTTGGTTTTAATTGAATTGTAGATTGTATTTGTTTAAGAAAATTATTATTTTGACTCCACTCTATTTGCCAGTTGTTAATGATCTTGTTTTTTAGATAATTCTTTAGATCTTCTGTAGAATATTCTGGTGAAGCAGAAGTGTTAGAATTTGCAGCTTGCTTTGCTGCAGCGTCCACTGTTTCATTACCGCGTATACCTATGTGGCTGGGAATCCATATAAAAAATATCTCTACTCCTCTAGTCTCCAAACTATGAATTTTGTTAGTTATGTCTATCGTAAGTGCATCTTCGATGTCAACGTTTTTTAATGATTCTACAGCGCTAAATGAATCTGAACATATCGCTGCTTTTAGAATGTTATTGGTTTCTATAAATTTCAAAGCTTCTAATATGGCGTGGAGTTCTGCATGGTATACACTAGCCCAAGTATAATGTGTCCAAGAAAATGAGTGATCATTTATAACAATAGCACTGCCTACTCCTGTTATAGTCTTGGAACCATCAGTGTAAATTTCTAAGGGGTTATTTAGTTTGGCGAGTAAACATTTGAATTCGTTGTTTATTATATCTTTGGGAGTATCATACTTATTAAATTTTTTTGGAATTTAGATAGATTTTAGTTTTTTTTGCTTGCCATGGAGGTATTTTACTTTTTGGTGTGGTAAAGGGTTCTGGCATATTTATTTCCAAAGAATTTACTAAGTTCATTGACCGAATAGTGTATGGAAGACTGCTAATACGTCGAGTATGATATGAATCGCTGGTTTCGTTGTTAAAGACAATATTGTAAACTGGATGTTCGGGTTTAGAGAGAATTTTACAAAAGTAATTCGTATTCAGAAATTGTCTTCTGAATCGGAGTGGGGGTATGCCAGCTTCGCAACATAATGACAGATATGGACTAGTCCTGAAAGCCCCCAGGGCAAGTCTCAAGCAAGTGGCCTGAATATGTTCCAATGATTTTAAATTAGATTCACTTGCTAACCCATAAATAATGGAGCCGTAGTCTATTTTAGAAAGAATGAAGGATTTATATAAATTTATTAAAATTGTTACATCGGAGCCCCATTTAATGCTGGACATAGTTCTTAGTATGTTTAGTCTATTTTTACATTTTGCTGCAAGATCATCGATATGTTCTTTTCATAATAATTTCTTATCGAAAATAAGGCCTAAAAATCTGATTGATGTTTTCGCCTCTATAATATTTCCATACAAAGTAAGGTTGGGTTCTGGGTGGTCTTTTTTTAGCTTACAGAAGTGCATGCAATGAGTTTTACTTGTTGATAATCTAAAACCATGTTGTTCTGCATATTCTGTAATAATATTAATGGCATTTTGCAAGGTATTATTATTATTATTATTATTATTATTATTATTATTATTATTATTATTATTATTATTATTATTATTATTATTATTATTATTTTTGTTGTAAATTCCAGACCAGGCTATCTCGTATCTCCGACAACACGAGTCCTGACTGGTAAAAATACTCACAACTTCTCCCCGCTACCTGCAGAGTAAGAAATTATGAGTTCCGATTCTCGTGAGTTCTGAGCAACCTGAGTGAGCCCAAGATGACAGCCTTCTGCATTTCGGCGGCTATGTTTTCGGGTCTATTATGGCACGCCACCATTAATCTTAAATTAGGAACCAGATTATTTGTGATACCACCCAAGCAGCCAATTACCAACACGACAATTTTTACTGAAAGCTCTGGGTACAGTCTGCGGAGGTCGAATAACAAAGGTTGATATTTTGTCTTTTTTTCCTCTTCCTTGATGTTTATGTTGGACTCTGCTGGTGCCGAAAACTCAATTACGCGCATGGTTTTTAGTTGGTGATCAATAAGCACCATATCGGGCTTGTTAGCCTGAATTCGATGGAGGGTTGGGAACGGGTAATTCCAATATATCCTGGCTCTTTCATTTTCGACAACAGACTCCATATCCATTTGAGCGTATGGTAGTAGCGGTGCCTCATCTATACCGTAGAAGTGCCTCAGGTGATAGTATAGCACTTTTAAAGCCGCATCATGGCGATGGATATAATTAGTGCTAGCATAGGTCTGGCAAGCTGATAGAAGGTGCATAACAGTTTCGGGTGCTCTATGACAAGCTCTGCAACTTACGTCTATCAAATTTATACCCATCACTTCTCTACGATATACTAAAGTGTTATAAACACCATCTTGCACCGCCACAATAAATCCTTCCGTTTCGGACTTAAGTCCACTAGACCTTAAGAAAGCAAAGGTTAGTTTCTTGGACAGCCCGCGATCCTCAATGTTCTTGTAGAAGATGCTATGCATGGGCTTATCCATATGAATGCGAAGGTTAGTGTCACATTCAGCTTTCTTTATATGGGACTTAAGTCGAGTAGGTTCAAGCTCTGTTATGGAGTTTCGATTTGCTCGTCCTGGATCAAAAGCGAGTCCTAGATGTTCAGAAGCTCGACGAGCTGCTCTAAATAGAAATGATCCCACTCCTTGCTCCTCATGGCTTTTAACTATTTGGAGAAGCGGGTCCTGGCTCCTAATAACCTTACAGGCCGCACTTAGTACCATTCTATCGTGCATACACTCCAAACTTAATAGCCCTCGGCCTCCCAGATGACGGGGAACATAAAGCCTAGGGACGGACGATTTGGGATGTAGACTGCGGTTCATATTTAGCATCTTTCTTGTCCCTCTGTCGAGATTTTTCAGCTCATCAACCGTGTACTTAACTACTCCGAATGAATAGAGTAAAATCGGTACGGCAAGCATATTGGTTGCGCCTACTTTATTTTTTCCTGACAGTTCTGATGACCATATCTGTCTAAGCAAGCGTCTGTACCGGCCTCGAAGAGACTCTTTTACTTGTTGTGACGCTTGGATATGGTGTTGATCCACACCCAAGTATTTATAAGTCTCTCCGATATCCAGATGCCTAAGGATATTTGCATCTACCGGCTGAGCATCATCTTCAAAATTTAAGCAGCGTCCTCTCTTAAGATGAACAAGAGCACATTTGTCGAGCCCAAATTCCATACCAATTGCCCTCGTATATTCCTGGACCATTCTGATAGAGATTTGAATGTCCTTTTCCCCAGAGGCATATATTTTAAGGTCGTCGAAATAGAAAAGATGTGTGATCTTATGTCTCCGGTCTCCAGGAGGTCCACAGTGATATCCCCTGGTATTACGAAGGGCGACAGATAACGGTAATAATGAGATGCAAAATAGTAGCGGACTTAAGGAGTCGCCTTGAAATACCCCCCTTTTGATTGTGACTACTCCAGTTTGCATTGTGCCTTGTCCGGTTGTTATGGCGAAGCGTGTTTGCCAAAGTGTCATCAGGTGTTCAATGCATCTTATAAGGGGGCCTGGAACCGCAAGCATTTGGAGCAGATAAATAATAAGCTCGTGGGAAGTGGTATCAAAAGCTTTACGGTAATCAATCCAGGCCATGGACAGGTTGCGTTTGTATTGGACAGAGTCTTGGGTGACCGATCTGTCAATCAATAAATTTTCCTTACAGCCTTCCATTCCCTTCTTGCATCCTCTCTGTTCGCCAATCTGATGGTAGGTTGGACCTATTGCCTGAAGTAAACGCGTGTATATAATGCGTGTGAAAAGTTTATAGCATGTGTTCAGGCACGTAATAGGCCGATAGTTTTTAGGCAAAGACAAATCCCCGTTCTTCGGGATAAGCACTGTTCGACCCTCAACAATCCAATTAGGAATCGGCTGCTCTCCGTTTAGCCATGATGTGAAAATTCTGGCCAAATGTGGATGTGTGCATCTAAACTTTTTCCACCAGAAGTTATTGATACCGTCTGGCCCTGGAGCAGCATAGTTCTTTGCACCTTTAAGGGCAATCCGAACCTCTTCTGGAGTAATAGGATTTTGCTTTTGATCCGGATTAGGAGTTCTTCGGCAAAAGGACTCAAATAGCGACAGGGCTGGCGTGTCTGTGTCTAGCGACTTCACCTTTTCGTAGATATCCCTCCAGAAGTTTTCAACATCTTGAGCATTAGGCGGATTTTCTGGGACAGTACTGGCTGGTTGAAATAGCCTTGATGGACATCTGGCGAATTGGATGTTCTGCAAAGTCCACCGAGATCTCTTCTCTAGTTTTTGCTTAACTACTGTAAGCATTCTTATCCTGTCCAAGCAGTGCTGTTTCGTGGTATTTAGCACTCCTTCATTCAGTGTATGGTGGTTTCGGCGTAGTTGTCGAGCTATTTGCCGGACTTTTGGTGTAAAAGGCCGACTAGTTTTATTATATTCCAAAACACACTGAACTCTAGAGGCATACTGCCTGGCTGACTTGATCTTAGTTTGTACCTTTTTTAGGCGCCGATTTATAGCTTCTACCGGCCTGACCTGGTCGGTTGGGCTAATTCGGGAAGTCAGCAACTCCGCATGGTGATATAATGCGTTGTTTAGGGTCAATATGTCAACATCCTCTCGGAGCTCTTCAACCAGAGATACTTCTGCTTCAAGATAGTCGCTTTGTTTTGGCGGTTTTGTGCGGTGCAGAGATCTGCGTTGTTCAGAATTTAATGGTTGCGGAGTATTTTGGCGTACTACTATATTATCTGGTTCAATCTGGGGTCTATCAGCTACTTCCTCTTCTATCTGACTAGGGGCCCTTACATAATTTATACGCCTTAGGTATGCAGCATAATCTCTTAGGTGTTGTTTAGTAAGGTTATAAGTAGGATGCTTTTGGCACCAGAGATTATGCATCCGAGACATATATCCCCTTCGCCTGGGTTCACTGGCCTCATAGCATTCCATGACGTCATCTCTTAACTCACTCGTCCACTCAAAACGTTCATTTTCATTGCCAGAGTCGTCATCGGGTGAATCAATCCTGTTGGCCCCACCACCTTCACCATGGTCTCTATCCGAATGAGGCCAGTTGTGGGGGCCATGTCCTGTGGTTCTTGGAACACAGTGAGAGGTCTCTGGTAGGGAGTTGACCATCCAGAAACCCGGCCGATATTAGGTAGAAAGTCGCTTTCCGCCCTTGGACGCATTCTCGCTATCGGTCCGATTTGTCCTTAGCTCCGCAAGGTGGTGTCGCTACTCACCAGACCAAGGTTGTTGGGCGGTCTGCATTATTATTATTATTATTATTATTATTATTATTATTATTGTTATTATTATTATTATTATTATTATTATTATTATTATTATTATTATTATTATTATTATTATTATTATTATTATTATTATTATTATTATTATTATTATTATTATTATTATTATTATTATTATTATTATTATTATTATTATTATTATTATTATTATTATTATTATTATTATTATTATTATTATTATTATTATTATTATTATTATTATTATTATTATTATTATTATTATTATTATTATTATTATTATTATTATTATTATTATTATTATTATTATTATTATTATTATTATTATTATTATTATTATTATTATTATTATTATTATTATTATTATTATTATTATTATTATTATTATTATTATTATTATTATTATTATTATTATTATTATTATTATTATTATTATTATTATTATTATTATTATTATTATTATTATTATTATTATTATTATTATTATTATTATTATTATTATTATTATTATTATTATTATTATTATTATTATTATTATTATTATTATTATTATTATTATTATTATTATTATTATTATTATTATTATTATTATTATTATTATTATTATTATTATTATTATTATTATTATTATTATTATTATTATTATTATTATTATTATTATTATTATTATTATTATTATTATTATTATTATTATTATTATTATTATTATTATTATTATTATTATTATTATTATTATTATTATTATTATTATTATTATTATTATTATTATTATTATTATTATTATTATTATTATTATTATTATTATTATTATTATTATTATTATTATTATTATTATTATTATTATTATTATTATTATTATTATTATAATTATTATTATTATTATTATTATTATTATTATTATTAATATTATTATTATTATTATTATTATTATTATTATTATTATTATTATTATTATTATTATTATTATTATTATTATTATTATTATTATTATTATTATTATTATTATTATTATTATTATTATTATTATTATTATTATTATTATTATTATTATTATTAATATTATTATTATTATTATTATTATTATTATTAATTATTATTATTATTATTATTATTATTATTATTATTATTATTATTATTATTATTATTATTATTATTATTATTATTATTATTATTATTATTATTATTATTATTATTATTATTATTATTATTATTATTATTATTATTATTATTATTATTATTATTATTATTATTATTATTATTATTATTATTATTATTATTATTATTATTATTATTATTATTATTATTATTATTATTATTATTATTATTATTATTATTATTATTATATTATTATATAGTAAACTTCCAACAGCTTCCTGATAAGGTGTGTTTATCGGAATTGAACTTAAGGCCCACTTCCATTGGAGTACAAACTAGCCGGGAATCCTCCATGTTAAATTTCTTTAATATATTCTTTATAAACTCCTGTTGATCTATCCAATTTTTTTTTCTTCCAAGTTCTAGTAATTCTTATTCAAAGAAAATTTTTTGCTTCTCCCAGGTCCTTCATTCTTAAAAATTTTAAATTTGCACTTTTTGTCAAAATTCTCGAATACGAACGACCATTTTAGGGAAATTATATATAGAACAAAAATTATAGAAAATTATATCACAAGTAACTTTTATTTTCTTCTTTGGGCGTAAATAACATATATTCCAAAGCGTAGAACGACGCCATATAAAGTACCCCCAGATGCTCTGACTATGCCCAAAATCTAATCAACTCATTACAGGATGGATTAAAACCTAAGTATACAATTTTGTGTATTTCTCTATATCCGTTTTTGAGTTATCGTGGATACAGACTCTCACACACACAAACACATGAACATCATCGCGAAACTGTTAAAAAAAAATTCAGGGGACCCCAGAACGTAAAAATCCGTCGAAAAAGGTCAAAAAAATCATGATTCGTATACTTTTCTTCTGTATACAGACAGAAAAGTAAAAAAACGAAAATAACATAATAACAAGACAAGTTGAGTTTTTCTACTTACTAAGATCATTTTCGAATGTGCTACATTTTGCAACTCTTCAATATTAATTTGTTTCAATCCGTCTAATATTTCTTTAGAACTATTAGTACTGATTTTTAGTTCTTTAGCAATTGCTTTGGTAACTTGTGGTACCCTCTTTCCCAATGACCAGGAGCTAAGGGATGATCCAGAGCTGAGAATAGCTTTGTTAAAGAGTCCTTAAAATAAAAAATAATGATAATTTAAAAATTTCCATATACAATATATATATTCATACATAAATTAAAAAAATACCTTTAGTTTCCTCAATTTGCAACAAATAAGCAACAGAAGCAGCGCCCGCACTTTGACCAAAAATGGTAACATTATTTGGATTACCACCAAAGTTTTTGATGTTATTTTTAATCCACTTCAAAGCCATTATTTGATCCCTTATTCCATTGTTTCCTGGAGCAACAGTATCTCCTAACGATAAGAAACCAAGTAAACCAAGTCTGTAGTGAATACCGACTATGATAACATCTTGATCGAGGAGATATTCAAGGCTGTGATCTTTAAAATTAAGAGGTCCGACTACGAAAGCACCTCCAGCGATCCAGACTAAAACTGGGAGGTTGTTCTTTGGGTTTGGTTCCTATAAAAATTGACTGAATTACAATAAATAACAAAAGGTACAGTTGCACTATTAATTATTTTAATTTTATTCTTTCATTTTTTTAACAAGACATTTTGATTTTTACGAATTTTATGAATTTTTCCACAAAACCGCTATTTATTATTTTCACAGTAGAGACGTCAAAAAAGTGGTGATTTTTGTTTGTTTAAAGAGGAAGGGTTTAAGTAATCTTCAGCTATTGATGTTAAAGGCTTTATTTCCAATCGATAAACTTCATTTTATTCATCATAAGAGATATTGTTCAATTTTAATTTGTACTTCACATTCTCCAACAATATCTATTCGCGATTCAAGCTAAGTGATACGCCCTCTGGAGGAAATTTGTAAAACATTTCTATAAGTAAGACTTTGGATGCTACTTTAAATATTTCGATGCTATATTAAAAATTTAGGAAATGTTAACCATTAGAAATTCTAACTTATATTGAACCTTACTCACTAGATGTTGTTACAATCCTAAATATTAAAAATTCATGTGATAATAAAAAAGGATCCATTTTTAGTTATTTTTTTTATATGTATTAATTTTTTGTTTGGTTTTTACATAATATAAGATTTTGTGGTAAAATAGCTGCAAACTCTATGATTAATGTAATTATCAATAAAATTGTTAATTATGACACTAAAAGTTTTGCTAGGTTTTTCTCTAATCCGAGCGAATATGCCATTCTCACTCAATAAGGCTTGCACAATAACACAAGAACATCGCGCAGTTGGTATTATTATTAAATTATAAATATTGACGTGTACAACACAATACACTTGATATATTGTAGCACGGGGGTTTATAGCATATGCGCATTTTGTCAACAAGTTACTGCGCATCGAAACTGGCGTACGTCCGTTTTACAATAACACAATTATATATAAAATATAAAGAAAACAGAATAATTACAAAATACCTCAATAAAAATGTGTTATTAACTTGCCAAAAGTAATAGTTTCACATTTTTTTTATTTATCAATCGTAAAATTGAAAAAATATGAATTTATTCAATTATTTGTACAATGTAAACCTGGCTTTGGATAACAAAACCCAAATCTCGTTAAAGCTCGAGTCGACTCGATAAACGAAACCCGAATGATACAAAATACAATATGGCTGTCGATGTAAACAATTCTAAGTGAGTTTTACTTTTATTTAATACAGTTTTAGGCATAAATTTAGTAATAATTTACTGTAAGTAAACTTATTTTGATACTTTTGCATGTCTATGTCCTATAAATGCATATATTTGATTGTAATAGTAAATTGTTCTGGCCCATTTACACTGTTTTAGAAAAAACATTTTCATTTTATTGTCAACTGAAAAAAGGATTATTATTCGTATTCGTAATTGTGTTATCCCCAAATATTGAAATCCTTAACAAAGTTTTAATTCTGATATTCATTTTGATAATTATCCTAGATATGCCAATTTAATTGTTTGTACAGTGAAACCTGTGTAAAACGGAATCGCACGGTCGTGCACCGATTTTCCGGCATATACAGGATTCCGCGTTACACAGGGTAGATAAAAAATTGCACATAGTAGATTTAAAAAAGTGATGATTTTATTAAAAAAAATCTAATATACGTTCATTTAATATATAGTTGTTATTATTACTATGTACCTACATATTTTTATTTATTATTAGAAACAATATAAATTATTATTTATTCCACATTTCTATCAATGTAAGTTGTTTTTTATTCTTTTGTAATACGTAAGATGATTCCATGAATGTCCTTAATTCTAAAATCTTCTTTCTCATCGGTTCGCTCTCTATTCTTTGGGAAAAATCCTCTAACGCTGCAACACTCCTCAAAGCTTCAGAAAAATTTTTTATCCGATCGGATTCTTTAACTTCTGTTCCTGTAGATAAAAATAATAATTTAAGAACAGATCGTTTTGAAAAGCTAATGGGAAAATAATTTTTTCTATCTGTTATTTTTGTGATGGTAACTAAAATCTTCCTATCTTATTTTTATTATGTATTTTAACTTTATTTCTACTTGGCCAAATGCCCAATTAAGATGGAAAGAATAAATAAAAAGTTGTTTATTTTTTTAGAGAATTAGAAAAATCGCTTACCAATTCCAATCCCATCATTATCGTCTGCCACAGTAGTTTCCACGGCAGTTTTTTCTAACACCAGTTCTTCTATGGACTGAAATCCAGCATTTCTTGTAACGGCTTCATCTAATGTGATGTAATCATGAACATTACAACCGGGATTAATTTCAGTAATTAACTCTTCGACTTCTTTTGTACTTTCGTCAATTTCGTCAACATTTTCGATTAGGTCACCGTCTCCATCTTGCTTGATTCCACATGCCGCAAAACATTTTTTAACACAATCAGGTTTAATATTTTTTACTGAATAATCAATCCATCTGATAGCATCCAAAACTGATATTTTTTTAGCCAAATCTCCTGCTGATTGAGAGAATCTCATATTCGCAATAATTGACCGCAGCACTTGTTTTCTGTAATGCATTTTGAAGTTTTGTATAACTCCATGATCGAGAGGCTGTGTTTGACTTGTGGTGTTTGGTGGTAGAAAACACAATTTTATATTGGATAGTATTATTTTGGGGTGACACGTTGCATTATCCAAAAATAGAAGGATGTGTCGATTTTCAAATTTCATTTTTTGATTTAAAATTTTTAGCCACTGTTCCATAAGAACTGAAGTCATCCATGCTTTTTTATTTGCTCGCCAATAAACTGGTAGCTGAGGCACATTGGTATTGTTAAAACATCGCGGTCTGAGGGATTTTCCAATAACTAGAGGTTTTTCTATTTTTCCGTCAGCAAAGGCGCAAAACAAAACGGTTAACCTTTCTTTAGATTGTTTGCCTCCTTGACATTTTTCACCTTTAAAGCACATTGTCTTGTCCGGCAGCGCTCTATAAAAAAGGCCAGTTTCGTCACAATTAGCAATGTCTTTTAGGGTATATCCTTTAATTAAATCTGTAATGTGCGATGTCCATTCAGTCACAGATTCCATGTCGACGTCCTTAGCTTCACCGCAGATCTGATTAAATCTTATGTTATGTCGTGTTCGAAAACTTTCCAGCCATCCATTCGAAGCTTTAAAATCTACTTTTCCAAAATGGTTTGCAATTTCTCTTGCTTTTTCTTCAATAATTGTTCCAGATACAGGAAGATTGCGAGACCTTGCATCCATAAACCATTCCAAAACTGTTGAATTTACGTCGTCGTGATGTGATTCCTTTGGCTTTCTCTTAATATCGCCATTACCACCACGCATCCACTCTTCTTTAATTTTTTCCTTGTTTTTCAAAATTTCATAAACTAATTATGTAAACATCTATAAATTCTTTTATACCTGCAAAGCAATAACATAAGTAGGTTCCGGCTTAACAGATTAGGGAAATTCCGTGTTCGCGTTAGACAGGGTTCCGGCTTATAAGCAATTTTTACATTACAATATGTAGGTAATCGCCAAAATTTCCGTCATACACAGGATTCCGTGTTACACAGGTTCCGGCTTACTCAGGTTTCACTGTATTATACCCAAACTTTTTAATCTTTATAAATCTAAAGTATTTTCATTACATAAAGCAAGAAAATCTTAATTAGACGTTATAGAAATTAGAAGTAGTAAATTAAAAATTAGTTAAATCGCTGCAAATGCAAAAGTAATTAGTCACATACAATCAAAATCATGTGCTTTAGGAAGTTTTTCGCTTTCAACAATTGTTTTTTTTTCTTTTCGTTTCAGGATTCATGGATGGAACTCTTGTTTTATTTCGCACTATTAAAGAAAATTTTTGTTCGTTTTGTGTTATTTAAAATTGTTTATTCAGAAAATATATATTATGTTTATTGTTGTAACCAATAAAGATTCAACAAATAATATTTAGTTATAATACAATTTTGTATTATTTATTTTATACCTCTAAAATTATTTAACATAAAATTTTACATTTTTATTTGCATTTTTTAACACGCATGAGATGCGTGTTAAAAAAATGCCATTAAAATTGTAAAATTCTTATATTTTGTCGAAGTAAATTCAAAAGCCCGCCAATTTTCAAATTAAAATAGCATTACAGCTTTTTATATTACCGACTGAGTATTAGTTGCACAAAACTATCCCACATGTCGCTGAAGGCAAACATGTTGCCATATTTATACAAAGAAACGGCAACTCTTAATTATCCTTCCTCCATGTATTGTAGGCTTTTAAGAGTTGTTTACATTCATTAATTTTAAGAACTCCTTTTTTGGAATTAAGTCAAATATTTTTGGTTTATTTTAGAGAAATATGGTGAAATAGCTGTCTCGTATCAATTAAGAAGTAATTTCATGTTTCTTAAGCAGCAATTAAATTTATGACAAGCAATAACAGCTCAACTTTGTCAATTACCACCTAGGTAGTGATAAATCAATATGCTGACGTTTCTGTATGTTTCAATCATCAAGCAATGTTCCGTACTTTGTAACGGCATGCATTTTATTTTTGAACTTGTTAGTTCTGAACACTCTCCACAGTAGTAAGTTTAACAAGAATCGCACGGGAAAACCGATATTTTGTCTTTAACGCTACCTTTTTTCTTACACTGAATACATTCAACAGCACTCATCTTGAATTGATTGTTTCATGTTATTCAATGTAACCTGCACGCCACTGGAATGATCGAGTTTATTAAAATTTATCAGTTTATGTTTTTTAGATCAAGATTTTTTTGGTAGAGAAAGAAGAAAAAACTTGTTCACTTCCTCAATGGGAATTTAAATATGTAATATTTTCGTAAACGCTGTTGCTAGGTACACGCTAAAGCAAAGAGTACAAAATATAACTATAAAAGACGAGTCACTCGCCCAATTACCGCCTTCTAACGCGATCAGCCGCCAGTCCTCCACAGTCCTTTCTCGATCGGCAGTATACCGGTGTAGTTCAACGCGTAAGGCTCGTTTGCTCCGCTACATTAGATTCCGCTGTGTATTGGCCGTTAGATTCCACTATCATCGCCGTCGCGTCTTACCGCTTAACCCCGGTATAGCCCAATTAGCTCTGTACTCTTTGAAAAAACGCCGACTTGTCGGCCCGCATTTGAAGCGCGATTTCCTTTGTAAATGCCGCGAGTGACTTCTCTTTTATAGATATTTTGTACTCTTTGGCTAATGCGTACACAAATCAAATAATTATATACACGCGAAACGTCATATTGCTGTGGTGGGAGGTGTTTGTGTGAATGCGTGTTGTTTGATTTCATTTACGCAGCTAGCAGTAGTATTTTATAAACTTTAGAAGCAAATTTCACATACATGAACAAATAATAATATTGCCGTGACAACAAGAAAATGAAGTAACAAATTGTCGTAGGGTGGCGGCGAAGCCGCCACCAGAAAATTTTAATCCATACCTGGCTACGCCGCCCGGCATGGACACAGCTCACCTACTCTGTCAAGACGTTTCGCGTGTATGTAACTTTTTGAATTGTGTACAAGTTAGCGTGTACCTAGATATGTATCGTAAAACACCAATGTATTGTTTAGATTTCACTTTTATCGCAAACTAAAATGATTAAGGAACATGTCCATATGAAATTCGGTTTTTACTATTGGCCAAACTCAGAATCACAGTCATGATTTTCAGTATTAAATCCCATGACAACCAAAGTGCTTTCACAATTGGGTGGCGCCGACTTTACATAACTAAACATTTAAATAAAATTTCAAGTAAAAATATATGTCTCTGTCAATAGGCGCAACTTGCGATCAAAGAGATCGATTTGCAGATATTTTTTGGACTTCCGACAAAAAACCCATTCCGTACAAGCTCTTTATATAGAGGCCGAACTTTTTTCTTCTATTTGCTATGTTACTTTATAGTTGACTTATTGTTTTATACAATTATACACATTAGTATTTAAAAATTTCAAATTATCATCAAAAAAATACTTGAAGACACTTTCCAAATTTAACAAAAACATGTAATGTTGGAGACAAAAACGAAATAAATCTGATGTATATTCCAGAAGTTATATAAAAAGTTACTAACAATCTAACAGTAAACAATTATTGTAGGTCTAACAATCTTACCATGTTGGTGTAAATTCTAAGATATAAACAATCTTCGCTTCCTATGGGAGGATTTGATCCTTCAACACATACAGGCGGTTCCACTGTTACATCCAATGTTCCTGTCCAATTTTTCTTCGCCGCTGGTGCCTGGCAAATTGAGTTTTATTATTCGATATTAAAAAATTATAGATGCTAACACTATAAAAATTAAATATATTATTGGAAAAACTTACTTCAAACCTTAAATTACCGACAGGTGGTTCAGCAAATGGTATCCCTCTGAACCAGTAAAGAAGTTTTCGGTCACCAGTAGTTCTCTGTCCATAAGATCCTTTAACAATCCCATTCGAGGTTTGCACAAAAATTGATCCATTTTCGTCAGCACTGCAAAGAACAATTCCAACTAGGAGCAAAATCAGTACGTTAAGAGCGAACATTGTCTACTGGTATTGATTGAAGCTCAAGAAATGCTGTTTTATATTTTTTATAATATAATATTTTTTTAAGAAATATTTAGATTGAAAGATAAGATTAGAAAATAAAAAGATGTGATAAGGGTCAAAATAACATAATTATACGAAGGTAATTTTTTTATTGTTATTTAAAAGGTAGTAGACACATCGAATATTTAGGATATCTTGATTATATAATAGGTAAGTTGTAAATTTTGGTATTAAGTGCCTAATTTTGTTTGTCAGATCGTGAATGTGATTATTCCGTTTCAGATTTTTATCGACTCCAATACCTAAATACTTCATTGTCTTAGTTTCTTTAATGGTAATATCAGATTCGTTCATTTTGATATAGTTAAAAATAGGTCTATTTGCATCGTTCATTGAAAAGGCTATGTAAAATGTTTTGTCGGCGTTCAAGATTAATTTAAAATAAAGCCAGCTTTGAACTGTTTCAAAACCTGCAACTACTTTTTTTGGCAATTTCCCAGGGAGTTACTTCATAAAAAGTAGCACTGTGTCATCTGCATAAGAAATGGAATCTCCATTTATATTTAATAATAATAATAATAAATGCTTTTATACACATTATATTACATACATAGATGACTTATGTCAATTGGCAGGGTTCAGTGTTCCTTAAAGGTAGATGAACTGCCTTTAAGTAATTCTGCTCTTCCACCCAACCATGTACATTTAATTTTTGTACAAGAATTATTTGCTTGAGTAACAAAAAAAAACTAAACTTCTAAAAATAAAAATATAAGAGACATACTAAAAAATCAGAGAACAACAAAATATATAATATTATATTAAAAATCTGGTGGTGTCATAACACTATTTAGTAAATCATTCTTCAACTGTTTTTTAAAATTTAATTTATTACTGCAATTACCATGTTTGTCATGAAACCAATTAAAAAGATGAGCGATTTGATATGAAAACGAACCTCTGTAAGCACGTGTTTGGTGTAATGGTATGGTTAATCTATTTTTCCAACGAATATTGACGTTATGTACGTATATATGTGCTAAATCTTATTTTGTTGTAAAGATACGGAGGTGTTTTCTTAGAAATAATTGAATTTAACTGACAGCAAGCGTTCAATACTCGTTGTTGAATTGTAGTTAACCAACCAATTCTTTTAATATGGTGCGAAATATGTTCCCTTCTCCTAATGCCACAAATTACTCTTACACATGAATTTTGTAACTTCTGTAATCGATTTAAATTTTGTAATGAATTAATGTATGTAATTAAAAGAAGAGGACCAAGTACAGTGCCTTGTGGTATTCCAATTTTAACATTAAAAGAATCACTATACACATTTTTAATTTTTACTTTCTGTTTACGAAGAAGCAAAGACCAGAGCTGATGGTGGTCTGGAATCAAGAGGAAGAAATTTTATTTCTTCGTCTTATTTATGCCTTCTCAGCAGGCAAGCTTGAAGTCTGGTAATTTCGGAGTGGGGAATACCACCACCACATCCGACTGTTTATTAGTTCAAAAATGAAAAAATGTCCTTTCACCACCTTGAGGAATACACGTAGATAATTGACATAAAATTGAATAATAGCCTAATAATAATGAAATTGAATGCTAATGGACTGCTGCAGCACCAGCAAGAATTGCAAGCAATCCTAGATATAGAAAACATAGACATATGCTTAATTTCAGAGAGTCACTTTACCAATGAGTCCTTTATTAAATTTAAGAGATATAAGGTTTATCATACCATTCATCCCCAAAATGAAGCAAGAGGGGATAGCGCAGTAATAATTATTAGAGAAGCAATTAAGCATCATCAAGAAGTGGGATACAGGACTAAAGAACTTCAGGCTACTTCAGTAATAATAAAATCCAAAACTTCCGATGTTATGGCCACTTCTGTATACTGTCCTCCAAGAGATACCTTTAAAAACGAACAATACCTAGATTTCCTCAATAGTCAAGAACCTAGGTTTATCATTGGAGGCAACTTTAATGCAAAACACACCCATTGAGGCTCCAGACTAAGAAGAACTAAGGGTAAAAACCTAAAAGAAGCAATAACAGTTAAAATGTGAATTGCATTCAACTGGCAAACTAACTTATTGGCCTACAGATATAAACAAAATACCCGACCTAATAGACTTTTTGTTGTACAAAATATTTCAGCAAACTACATACAAGTTAATGAGGCATGGGACATGAATTCAGATCATTCTTCTATTTTTCTCACTCTTAGCAATAATAATAATAATAATAATAATAATAATAAACGACTTTATTGTTTTCATAATTAATTTTTGATACAGTAAAAAAATAGATTAACAAAACAAAAGGCGAAGTTCAATTTTTAGGTTGGGTGAAACCCTGCCTAAAACTTGTTCTTCCACTTAACCCTAAAAATATCACATATTCTCTATAATAATCCAACTACACAGAAAAAAAGGTGTACTATATTCAAGATGAATGGTCTTATTTCAATGCTTTGTTGTGTTTGTATATCCGCAAGTAAAACTCGTCTCGATTTGAAACTGTACGAGGGTGGATCAAAAAGTACCCGTGTTAGAAAGGAAGAGGCAAGTTTTTCAAAAAAATTTATTTCTATTTTTCAACGTAATCTTCTTTTAGTGCTATATACTTTTTCCAACGTTTCTGCCATTTATTTAACCCCTCCAAAAAATATAATTTCTCGAACTCCGCAAAATACGCTTCAGTCTCGATGATAATCTCCTCGTTAGAGCTGAATTTTTTTCCCCCGAGCCACGTTTTCATGTTGGGGAAGAATAGAAAAAAGTCGCATTTAGCCAGGTCGGGCGAGTACGGTGGGTGCGGCAGCAGTTCGTACTGCAGTTCTTGCAATTTGACCGCAACAATTCTCGATGAATGTGCTGGTGTGTTATCGTGGTGAAACAGGACTTTTTTCTTAGCCAAATGAGGCCGTGTTTCCTTTAATTTTGCATCGAATCAGTCCAATAATTCACTATGGTACTGCCCTGTGATCGTACATCCTTTCTACAAAAAGTCGATGAGGATTAATCCCTTGGAATCACAAAAAATCGTGGCCATGATCTTTCCGGCCGATGGGACCGTCTTTGCTTTCTTCGGAGCAGATTCACCCTGAAAAATCCATTGCTTTGACTGTCGTTTGGTCTCTGGCGTATAATAATGTATCCAGGTTTTATCAACGGTGACGACTCGACGCAAAAACTCCTGCGAATTTCTATTAAAGAGCTCCAAACACTGCTTCGACATTGACAGCCGTATCCACTTCTTGTCCACCGTAAGCAATCATGGCCCCCATCGAGCCGATACCTTTCTCATGTTTAACTTATCATGCAAAATATTAATTGCCATTCCGTATGATACGCCTACGGCCTCTGCTACTTCTCACACTTTCGTTCGGCGATCTGCGACAATCATGTCTTGTACCTTTTTAACGATTTCCTCGGTAACAACGTCTGCCGGGGGACCTGGTCAATCCTCACAAAACAAATTTACGACCACCTTTAAATTTGTTGAACCAATATCTTACGGTTGTCATAGATGGTGAAGGGTCCCCATCCAACTTTGCTTTTATTTAATCGCATGTTTTTCCATCCAAAAATACAAATCGAATTACGGATCGATATTGTTTTTTTTCCATTTAATCGATTAATGCGAAACACGTATGGTACAAGTGGCTGCCAAATAAAAACCAACCTATGAATCAGTTTGAAATTTAGTATGGTGTCTTGTGACAGATGACAGTACACGACAGTAATGCCAACTTCCCTCAGCAACGCCACCTGCCTTCAAACAGGGGTACTTATTGATTCACCCTCGTAGTAATACTTGTTCAACAATAGATAATAAGCCTTGCTTCAAGAATAAAATCAACTTGCCCTAAGTAAAATACCTCTAATTAAATGAAGAGTATCTATTGCTCAATTGCAGTATTATGTACATCTTAAATGAAATAGTCTTACACTTTTTTTAAATATACTTTATTTATATTCAATAATACCTTGTTCTTAAATCCAGTACAACTAAATTTGTTACAATAATAATATGAACTGTTCCAAGAAATGTTAATATTGGCTTTGACATAAATATATTGATTTTGGTTGAATTATAGGATAGTTTCATTGAAGAAATTAATAATCTTAAAATAAGAACAGGCTGTTCTTGCTTTTTAATAGGGTTCTCACTGGTACCAATCCACCGAAAAACATTTTTCAAAATTGGTTTTAGTTAATATACCATATTCCTTTGTCTTCTTAGGTGTCACTCCTATAATTAAAAAAAATAATTTTATAACTACAAAACCTAAATGGAACATAAAAGTTTGTCTTGCTAAGAGGTCGTATCTACGAAATGAATATTTTTAGTAAATGTGGATAGGTAGATAATTACGTCCTTTTAGAATTCGCAAATAAGTTTTGCATATTTTACTAACCTTTTCTAATAATTATAGTAAATATTTTCTAATGCAAATAGGCATTTATTATTTTGTGCCATAATAAAATAAAATGTAAGCTTATTAAATTTGTAAAAATCTTGAAATCGTAATTTTCGTAGATACGACCTCTTGTCTTAGCAAGGCAGAAGTCGGCTTTCCAAAAAGTCGTCATCCAGCATCATACATTTTTTTTACTTCTATTCTAGTTTGTTTCGTATTCTTATGATTATAAATTTACTTATATATAGAGAGTTGATAGTCGTTGCTGACTAGTTAATAATTAAACCAGTAATTTGTGGGTAATGCAGCAAATGAAAGAGTACTTTTTTAAGTTTATTCCAAGCTTTCGGAAATGTTTATTTCCATCATCAGGGAGACTAAAATAAAATAATACCACATATTATGATAGAGTAAGGTAAACATTTTTTGTGGGTAATGCAGCAAATGAAAGAGTACTTTTTTAAGTTTATTCCAAGCTTTCGGAAATGTTTATTTCCATCATCAGGGAGACTAAAATAAAATAATACCACATATTATGATAGAGTAAGGTAAACATTTT